ACCTGGTTGAATAATTTGGGAAAAAATGTCTGCTCCTAGGAGCATGTCGATAGCCTTGGGAATATGGAAGGTAGGATCGGCTAGCTTGATATTCGAGATATGGGACCATGTATCACGAGAAAGGGGGGTTTGAGGCATATTTTCGCAAATTTGCGGGAGAACTACAGCGTCAATTGTAATGAGAGAATCTGAATCGAGTTCTAAATTATGACATGGCCGGAAGGTCACTGAGACTGCCTTTGATGCAGTGGAGTTCATATGGCTCAAGCCTTGGATGGATAATGTAATGTTATGTCGAGATAAACCTAATCTATTACAAAATCTTTCCGATACAAAGTTGGCTTGACTTCCACTATCGAGCAAAATACGAGCTACATGAAAATTTTCTTGTGGATCACGAACCTCAATCAGCGCAGTAGATAGGAGGACTTGTTTATGATTAGGCACCAAATTCGTCAGAGAAGTGACTGACTGGTGAGAAGGAGAATCATTCTTCGGAGTTGAGTCACTAGAAGTAGATGCATTCTGAATACAGGGGTGTTGATCGAAATGAAGAAGGCTGTTGTGTTTCATTTTACAAACCGCACATTTCACTAGTGATGAACAATCTTTGATTTGATGTCTATTGCCAAGACAATTGACACACCATTTATTATGTTTCGTTATATTATAGCGCTCTTGGGGTGAGTGTGATAAGAATTTTGGACATTTGTATATTGAATGGTCTTGTTTGCAATAAAAACAAATGAGAACTGGCTTGGTATGGGTCATAAATGAAGAACTTGGGCGCTGATATCCTTGAGGGCTAGAACGTGAACAAACATTCCGGGGTTTCGAGATTTCAAATTTTTGAGAACATTTTATACTGACAGATCTATCGAGTGCATCACATTGTTTGAGAATGAATTGTTTCAGATCATAATAATCGGGAATTTCATTTGAACCAAATTCAATTTCAAATCTCGAGGCCGTGTTCGGATCTATTCTTCGAAGGAGCATGTTGAAAATCAAAAAATCCCATTTACTGGTATCAAAACCCATGTTTTTTAATGCTGCTAAGTTTTCCTCATAAGTGTCCACTAGTTGACGTAAGTTTTGTGCAGTAGCGTTAGTTTCAGTTAATCTCGGAGCATTTTCTAACTCCTGATAGTGAGCCGTTGCTAAAGCGCGTTTATTATCATATCTCGTTTTTAAAGCATTGTAGGCAATGATATAATTTGCATCTGTTAAGCGATTACATTTGACTATAGAGAGTGGGGGTCCGGTCAGAGAGGATAAGAGATAATTAAATTTCTCTATATTAGATAATTCATCATTCTCGTGAACAAGAGATCTGAACATATCAAAAAATGTATTCCAATTTTTAGGATTTCCGTCAAATTTCAATAAATCAATTTTGGGTAACCGAACATTGCTTGATCTCGTATTGTGAGAAACATTTTGTTGGTGGTCGTCGAAGAGCTTACAAGCAACTTCTTTGATAGCATAATAATTGTCATCAAAATCTTGACAAATCGCAGCTTCGCCTTCCAAATCATGAGCCTCCATGGTGGAAACAATAACTAAAAGAGCGGCATGTTGTTCATCAAATTCAAGCTTGATTTGTTCAGCAGATGATAGTCGAGCTTTGAGCTGGGTATGAAAGTCACTATTGAGTAGAGCAGCATCTGCTATCACCCGAAGACTTGATAAACGAGCAATACAATGTTGACGTAAAGCTTGGATTTGTTTAATTTTATTTGCTTGACTCATTTTGGAGAAACGAAATTATAAACAAACGCCCGGGCCACACTGTATATAGTGAATGTAGAAAATCAATCCAAGTATAAACAATTATTCTTACTATTTTGTGACACCCTGTATAATAACAAATTGTTCAAATGCAAGTTATTTCTGTGAGAGGGAGATCTGTCAGCTGATTCATCAGAGAGATAATACGAAAATAAAACGAGATATGAAGATACGAAGTACGCACACCTAAAGACTCAAAACCTGATCCTATAATATGATAAGGTTTTGTTTCGTTCGAAGGCCGATTCAAATACTTTTATAAAGAGTACTTTTATTCATTGAGGAGAATACTTCTTTTATTGATAATTCAATTAGGTGCCAATACCATTGAACCGTCGAGATCGCAGAGCAAAAAATGTTCAATGGGAAAAAAGACTGTCTTATCAGTGTATACCAGTTCACCTGCTATGATAAACGAATATAAAATTCTCTTTCAGGATATATGATTGATAAATGAATTAAACGAAGACTTCGAATAAGCAAACTCGATCAAATAACAGAAAATGATATACATCAGGCTCGAATAAGGACCATGTACGAGATTGTCTCGTTTTGAGTAGTTGGATCTTGTATATATTTGCCGATATTAAATCGATCTTGATTACTCGAAGTGTAACATGCGATTCAAACTAGGAGAGTGAGAGAGAGAAAGAGAGAGCGAGAGCAAGACCGAGAGAACGGCTGTGATTTCTTACCTTATAACTAATCCTGCAGCTGGCTGAAGCACTGGTTGTCTTGATAGGTTGCGCAAGCACTCGTGATTACGCGACCGGCCGGTGCACTCGAGGAAAACGCGTTATATCTTATATAAAAGACAGAGAGAGATGTCTAGGGCGAGCACGAGATCTTTTTCCGAGCGAGCTGATTTTCAGAGTGTCTTTCTTCACCTTCTGCTCAGGCTCTGCCGGTGGGGATAGAAATCACAGACTCTTCGCGAAAAAGGCATAGGCGTGCAAAAGGGTATGAAGAGAATTTTATAATGTAAATGCTAACTAAACTTATCAAACTATTAAACTAAACTAAATAGATGAGCGGAAACTGAACAACTATCGTGCGCAGAAATCATATTTTTCGCACGCATATTAGTGCTGTCAGAGTCACTTGTCCGCAATAGTGCGGAAAAAACTCCCAACACTCAAATGAGTGCAGAAAGGAGAAATTTGATTTTTTTTCGCTCGCTAGTAGTAAAAATAGTGTACCAAACACGTGCGTGAAGTGTATTTCCGCACTTGCTTTAGGTGAACTACCATCACGACCGATTCTCAGACCTACCAAAGATGCACACAAATTTTCCCAAGAATCGGCAAGCCGTTTCGGTACTATTGGAAATTGGAGGAGTTTGACAGCAAACACTTTGACAGGAGTGTAGTTCTACCAAACATCCTATTCCACAATCACGAGTTCAATGATATCTAATTTGATGAGGCTCGTTCATTTGATGAAACATACAGACACGTCACAAAAGTACCTACCTACACATTACTTCCATATAAAATAATAAGATACTTTTTTCTACGGCTATAACATAAAATTACTCTTGTTTTACTGTGTTCGATAAATCAATGGGGTACTTTGTATGTTATCAATTCTATTTCTGTATCGGATATCACAATGACTTCATTGTTTTATTATTTCAAAGAAATCTAATCTCCCATGGCAAGTCAAAGTTCAAGTAATGACAGTTCTGTCATATATAGATGAGCATTACTTATGAAAAAATCAGATGGCTACAAACGAAGAAATCCAAAATTTTGCTGTTATCTGTTACAGCCGTAGAAAAATTATAGTGTATAACTCGCACGGAGTGCTAATTTCCCACTCGAATGATTTCAGCATTCACTTAAGGCTCATGCTGCAAACTTCATTCTCGTGGGAAATCAACATCGTTCCGTGCTCGTTGAACAATATACTATTTTTTACGGCTATAACACAAAATTACTCTTGTTTAACTGTGTTCGATAAATCAATGAGGTATTTTGTATGTCATCAATTTTATTTTCGTATTGGATATCACAATGACTTCATTGTGTTATTATATTTCAAAAAAATCTCATCTACCATGGCATGTCAAAGTTCAAGCAATGCTAGTTATGTCAGATAGATGAGCATTACTAATGAAAAAATCAGATGGTTTCACAAGCCAAAGAATGGAAAAAATTTGCTGTTTTCTGTTACAGCCGTAGAAAAAGTATTGTGAATAACTCGCACGGAATGCTATAATTTCCCACACGAATGATAGCAGCATTCGCCTAATGCTCATACTGCAAACTTCATTCTTGTGGAAAATTATTATCATTCCGTGCTCGTTAAACAATATACTATTTTCTACGGCAATAACACAAAATTGATCTTGTCTCACTGTGTTCGATACATTTCTGAGGTACTTTGTATGTTATCAATTTTATTTCCGTATCTGATATCACAATGTTTCTTTTGTGATATCATCGCCAATGGAATGTGAAATCACAAGCAACGCGACAGCTCTGTCTGATAGATGAAGCATTACTTGAGAGAAAATCAGATGACTACAAGACGAAGAAATCCAAACTGTTGCTGTTGCCTGTTACAGCCGTAGAAAAATTATAGTGCATAACTCGCACGGAATGCGGAATGAAGGTAACATGTGAATTAATATACCAACATAAGGAACACATTCTGAAAATATTGAATTTGCCGCCGAAATAGAGTAACAAAATGAAGCTCAAATTCATAATACAACACTGACTCAGTTGAGAGATCTCTGATGCGACGTTGCCAAATATACTGGATCTCATATTGTCGAGTAAATATCATAAACAAGGCGCACAGCGCAGCGCCCCCTTCAGAGCGCTAGGTAGAACTACGAGTGTATAAAAATTGACAAAAATGGTCAAATGGAGATCCGGACTAAAATTTGTGTACCCCCTCCTATGACCTAGGATAACGTAACTAAGATGATATACACATAGAAACAAGTCGAGATCCGTTTCGGATCTCGGCTTGTCGAAACGGATCTCCACTTGTTCAGCTTATATCACCAAATGATCTCGTCTTGTATCGAAAACATATCTATATATATATATAAATATAAACTATATATATATATATATGTGATAATTTTCATATTTTTGCTATTATTTGAAATACAGTGGGATTCATCAAATGTAATCTGATTTGATTCTAATTTTTTTTTTTTAATACCTAATTCCAGAACATATCTGACAACTTACACTTTTCCACAGCAAACTAGTACATTGGTATTGGCCAAATTCAACTTCCCAGTGAAAGTGCCGCCATTTTCTGCCACCAACTTCTCTATTTTTTGTCGTTCAGCTACATTGGACAAACCAGTAGAACAAACTGTTAGGTTTTGAAAACAAAGACATTTATGTTTCAAAAACTGTTCATCATCCCCATGGATATTGACATTTTGACTCACATTCCACACATCGTCGATCCAAGAAGGGCACATCAATTTAACACCAGCTTCTGCAGCTGCCTTGAGTGTTTGAAAAAAATTCAGAGTATATTCCCAAAATATTATACAGGGTGATATTTAAGTAAGTGGCCAAACTTCAAGGGGTGATTATTCGGGTGATTCTAAGATGAAAACTTCATACAAACATAGGTCCTGAAATGCTTTGTTTTCAAGATACATGGTGTTGAAGTTGGAAGTATTGATTGTTGTTTTTCATGATTACCCTGTATAAGCTTTCATGATGGCAAAATTTAGTCTGATTGGTGACTGAAAAAGTCATAGCTCTTATCAAAAGTTTTACAGGGTGATCCCTGAAAGTGTAATAAACAACTCATTATTTTTGTTGAATGGAACACCTTCTATATTTTCTGTTTGTTTATAATCTGTGATTTTTTGTGTCCACATGATAGATATATACTGTGTGATAACTTTCGTTTTCACTTCATTATCAACACTTTTTTGACCCTAGAAAAACAATTTTAGTGTGTTGGCTTCTACATAAATATATCATGTTAGCTAGGAAAATTTGAAAATTTATATTGAAAATTTATACAGTGTGTCCCACTTACCATGCTCACCATGGGTATCTTTTTAACGGTGAGAGATACGAGGTCGGTTAAATGACACCAAATGTGGAGTTTGTCAAGGCCAACTATAATGTGAAAAAATATTTTGATAAAATCTATTCGTTTTTGTTTTATACGCAAAAAACAGATTTTGATCATTTTCATGTCTCCTCCGTAACTTCTTTATTTATGAAAATATTCAAATGGGAATTGCACTTTCTCATGGCAGTTTTTCAAAGTGATTTCGAAAAAAATATGAAATTTATACCAACCCTTCTAGAATTTGAGATATCAGCACCAACCTTAGTTTTTCATATGTAGGTCATAGCTCACTATGACTTTGTTACAAATAACTTTTTTTTCTCTTACAGATGATATGTCGCAGTAATAGTTTCGTGTTGATAACAACGGAGTTATCGTCATTTATACAAAAACAAAAAACTATTCGGAAGCCGCCATCTTGAATTTATAAATTTTAACAAAAAAAAACATGATCTCCGACCTCAAAAACCCCCACTTACCAATTTTGAATGGAATTGGACCAAATCTTGTCCGCCATCTTGGAGCAGCCATTTTTTTATTTTTAACAAAAATTCCATAACTCCGATTAACTCGAAATTTGGCAGGTGTTCATAATTTCGGTGACAATACATTATGGAATTTTTGTTGAAATAAAAAAAAAAGGCTGCTCCAAGATGGCGGAGAAGATTTGGTCCGATTCCATTCAAAATTGGTAAGTGGGGGTTTTTGAGGTCGGAGATCATGAGTTTCCTGTTAAAATTCATAAATTCAAGATGACGGCTTCCGAATAGTTTTTTGTTTTTGTATAAATGACGATAACTCCGTTGTTATCAACACGAAACTATTACTGCGACATATCATCTGTAAGAGAAAAAAAAGTTATTTCTAACTAAGTCATAGTGAGCTATGACCTACATTTGAAAAACTAAAGTTGGTGCTGATATCTCAAATTCTAGAAGGGTTGGTATAAATTTCATATTTTTTTCGAAATCACTTTGAAAAACTGCCATGAGAATGTGAAATTCCCATTTGAATATTTTCATAAATTAAGAAGTTACGGAGGAGACATGAAAATGATCAAAATCTGTTTTTTGCCTATAAAACAAAAACGAATAGATTTTATCAAAATATTTTTTCGCATTATAGTTGGCCTTGACAAACTCCACATTTGGTGTCATTTAACCGACCTCGTATCTTTCACCGTTAAAAAGATACCCATGGTGAGCATGGTAAGTGGGACACACTGTATATTACCAAGTTAAAAGCAGTTCATTTTACATTTCTATGGTGGTACACTATATTTTTTTTCAATTTGTGTGTGTACCAATAGTTTGTTCACATAACAGCTAGTGTTTTTACAATATTATACAGGGTGTTTCATTACTAATTGGAAATATTTCAACCATAGAATCTCGAACTCAAAATATGAAGATTTAACCCAAATCACCTAGATAAAATATGTCTCCTGTCTGAGTGACAGGGTGTTTTATTCAAAAATTTTGAAATGTTTTTTGCCCAGTTCTTCAAAACTATTTGACGTATCACTTTCATATTTGGAGAGAAGTGTAGGTATTATACATCTAACTGAATTATGTGAAATGAACTTTTCTAGCTATTACCAGAGGCGTACGACAGGGGCAAGTGACTGGTTGATCCTTCCCAAATTGAACGCCACTGGCGGAATTGCAATTTTATCAGAATTTTTCGATTCTTCAATACCTTCCTCGTAAATATTGTACTGTTTCTTCATAGCGATAAAGTCATTATTTTTCGAGATATTTTAAGTTAAACATGAAGCAGCACAATTATTTTGATTTCAATGTGTATCAATAATGTCAATATTTTGGATCAATGGACTGCATTCATCAATGAAATGGAACTTCAATCCATATTAACATAAAAACATAACAGACGAGAGCTGTTACAGGGCGTTTTGAATTTGTTAATATATTACATAATTAAACACCCTGTAACAGCTCCTGTATGTTATGTTCTTATTGTTAATATGGATTGAAGTTTCATTTTATTGATGAATACAATCCAATGATCCAAAATATTGGCAAAATCAATTGAAATCAAAATGATTGTGCAGATTCATGTTTAACTTGAAATATCTCCAAAAATAATGACTTTGTCGCTATGAAGAAACAGTACAATATTCAAGAGGAAGGTATTGAAGAATCGAAAAATTCCGATAAAATTGCAATTCCGCCAGTGGCTTTCATTTTGGGAAGGATCAAACAGTCACTTGCCCCTGTCGTACGCCTCTGGTAATAGCTAGAAAAGTTCATTCATTCATGTTTAACTTGAAATATCTCCAAAAATAATGACTTTATCGCCATGGAGAAAGAGTACAATATCAACGTCAAAATTGTTGGAAAATCGAAAATTTGTGAATTGAAAATTGCAATTCCGCCAGTGGCGTAGAATTTGGGAGGGATCAACCAGTTAATTGCCCCTGTCGTACGCCTCTGGTAATAGCTAGGAAAGTTCATTTCACATAATTCAGTTGGGTGTATAATACCTACACTTCCCTCCAAATATGAAAGTGATACGTCAAATAGTGGTGATTTGGATTGAATCTTCATATTTTGAGTTCAGGATTCTATGGTTGAAATATTTCCAATTAGTAATGCAACACCCTGTATATAAAATACAATGAATTTCAGTTCAAGTTCTTAGTCTGAATAAGAATTCAAAAAATACTTAAAGATATGTTTAAAAAAATGAGATTTGGTATTCAAGCCTTGTCTTAGAAAAAAAAAGAAAAAGTTGACTTTGAATAAGGATATATTTGAGTTGATGATCACTAATTAATCAGACAAAATTTGTTTTTCTAGGCTCAAAAGAGTAGTGATAAAGAAATTTTTGTGATCACAAAAATTCACAGATTCTGAAAAAAATATAAAATACAGGGTGTTCCATTTGAAAATATTAATTTGTGGTTTGTCACATTTTTAGGGGATCACCCTGTAAAATTTCTGATAGGTGCTGTGGAAAGGCCTCATTGCAGCATTCAACTTCAGCATATTGGTTTTTTTTATGAAAAAATAATGCTAAAATAGCCTTCTTGATGGATATCGAAATTTGGAATCCAATAAATTTTTCATTATTTCCTCAGACACTAAGTGATATACAAAAATTTGACAGAGGACAAGAAAGTTGTATTTTCAATTGTTAAATCTGATAAAAATATTAAACTTGGAAGAAACTATGATGTACAGGGTATCCCAATTTGGGCACTTTTGCGGGGTATCTCCCTTATCAGTGAAGATAGAGCATTGCGGTTTTCGCGACAGTGTGCTACTTTTTTATGAAATTAATAATGGCGCAAGCAGAATTGTGGTAGCTCCTCCGGTTGTCTAGATACAGGGTGGAATTGAAAAATATCACCCCCCGTGTCTCAGTTATCTTTGAATTTATCGAAGAAGTTAAAACTTGTTTTTGTAGAGTTCTTCTCGTAGAATCCAGTGGCGTAGTGATTTTTTTGCTAGCACCGTTTGTTTTTTAGTTATGGAGCAAACATATGTTTTTTTAAATGGAAAATAATTGTATACAATTATATATTTTTGGAAAGCCCACTTCATGCTCAATGTATATATGAAATAATATACAGGGTGTTCCATTTAAAAAAACATATGTTTGCTCCATAACTAAAAAACAAAAGGTGCTAGCAAAAAAATAGCTACGCCACTGGATTCTACGAGAAAAACTCTATAAAAACAAGTTTTAACTTCTTCGATAAGTTCAAAGATAACTGAGACACGGAGGGTGCCTGAAAAGTGATATTTTTCAATTCCACCCTGTATCTCGACAACCGGAAGAGCTATCACAATTCTGCTTGCGCCATTATTAATTTCATAAAAAAGTAGCACACTATCGCGAAAACCGCAATGCTCTATTTTCACTGATAAGGGAGATACCCCGCAAAAGTGCCCAAATTGGGATACCCTGTACTTTGGTACCTTATCAACCAAATATATCAAAAAATTAATCCACTGTGATGCCACTGGAATCATTATTTTGAATCTAATTACACCAAAAGAAGCTTCTTGCTACTGTTAACAAAATCACAGAGTTTCATTGAATTTTTTATTGAAACTTTGACACAGAAGTGAAGCATTTCTAGACCTAAGTTCACATAAACTTTCCAACTCAGAATCACCCAAATAATTACCCCTTGAAGTTTGGCCATTTAAATAACACCCTGTACAATAAATGTAGCCAAAGGATATATCTTACTAACCAGATATTTTTCAGATATTGCACTGCCTGTCACAAGGTGTGTATTTTTGGAAACTAATGTATCAACATAGCAGCCTCCCATCAGTTCTACCTTTGATTTTATTTCCATTTTCACATTTTTGTGTAGGTAAGAGCTTGTGACAATGCAATTGTACATTGCCACATTGTAAATGGGCCAAGGAAAATTGGGCACAGATTTGCCATCCATCAAACAGACACTTACAGCCCATGGTCCCAAAATTCTGCTACAAATTTTATTTGGTTTATTTTTCCCAGTGCATCATTGTGCCAGTAATATTGAGGATATGCAATTTACCAAGTAATTTACATAAGAAATCACCAAAGTACAGGTACTAATATAAGGAATAAGTGATTAATTACATAAACATATAAATCTCCCTCCTAAGAAGGATAATTTCAAAAAATTCCTAATAAACTAGTGATATATTTCTTTAAAACTACTGACAATGTAATTATCTCTTAATATAAATAAGTAGGAATGATTTTTACTCACGCACACTTGGAAGTTTTCAAGTTTTCAAAATTATTCCCTTCAAACTTCTCAAATACAACAAAATCTGTTTTGTTCAGTTCCAGTGATTCAAATTCCAGCTCTTTCACCCAGCTGACATTGGTGGAAACATTCTGTTTACAAGCCTGATAAATTAAATGAAAAGATGTTACACCATTCCCAGTGAATTTCAATTAGTTTGATTTTCACTTTAGATTACAAGGTTGAATAGGACATGTTATACACATGACTGGACACATGATACCACATATTCAATATGAAAGAACATTATCCTAGACTTACCTCGAAAGCCTGTAGCATGATTTCAGCTGCTTCATATTCATCAGAGTATTTTGCAGCTAATACAAATATAATCCTTATATTTTCCATGAGGGAACCTGAGGAGGGAACCCTATCCCTACCGGTGTGTTCACTGTGGAATTCCCTTTATTGTACAGACAAATTGCACACAGCTATGTAAATAATGATTTTCGGGTTATTGTATTTGTAATTAACTTGAAAACTTTGAACACAGGCTCTTGTGAGAAATATAAATGTTTTTCTTGTTATTGTTCCTGAAAATTGTGGGAAATAGTTCATATGACACACTGTCACATTTTGAAGTGTCACATTTGAATTTGAACTAATTTAAAACCACAGAACACAGAACAATTTCAGTTTCAGCTGATGACTCTTAGATCATGAACCGGTGAAGGTGATGGGAGGCAACTACGTCATAATGATGTCAAAATCAACAATTTTTGAAAACCTATTTCTTGCACTTTACCCACTACCACAGTTTACCATGTATCCCCACTCCAATATCTACTACGTCCATTATTCGTTTGAATGATGCCATTAGTGATATTCTATCAAACTGAATTAACTGAAATATTTCACTTGAACTGAACTGAATCAGTTAATATGTGTTCTTTCAAATGACGTTTATTGCATATCAACTGATTCAGTTAGTTCAAGTGAAATGTGTCAGTACGTTCAGAACGAAAGAATATCACTATAATATCCCCCATTTATCATCATTTGTGAACAAATATTCAAATTCAACTTTGACCACCTTTACCAACTATGGAGTTGGTAAACCCTAGGGCAGGTAACAGAGGTGTACTCAAACGAAAATGACGTCACGGCTAAACACAATGAAATGGGATTATCAGCTTCAACCATGACGACGGGTAATGACATTTGGTAATGACATATCCCTCTATGCAACATTCAGAATTTAAACGAGACAGGTTGCCTCATAACTTTATATATTGACGTCACTCTGCCTGTCCAGTGTCTATTCGGATGTTCAAAGTAATTTTCTAATCGTTCTGTTGAAACAAGTGATTCTATTGGTCTGTTCGTTTGTGTTTGCTCTACCTGCTAAACTCACGAAACGATATTTTCTTTCCTCATACTTACAACCTTCTGTGTTCACCTAAGTAATTTTTCGAAAAATATACATTTCAGGAAAAAAGTTTATTTAGGCCGAGCTAGGTCGAAAGTAGTCCCTTATCATGCAGAAACGATATCCTTCTGATAACCTTCTGATAACCTCAAGATGTTCCGTATCATAGCAGCATGCTACTATTTGAACGACTGGCGAGAGATGTTTGTGGCATTTGTTGTTTATTAGGTTATGTTGAGGGCATAGGCGTATCATATGTACTTTCCTCATGCAATTCCTGATCCAACTAGATTTTGAACTTAAATAAATCAGAAGCAAGCTTGCATTCAACAGACAGGCATGATGAGCATGATGTCATCACGCCACTGTGTCACGGTCAGGTCAGGCAATGTATGAGGCAACTTGTCCAGTTTATCAATCTTTGGTTCACCGCTTCATGGAACTGGAGAACCACGTTAGGTGGAATCGTGCTGGAATCTATGATGTTTTAGTTCCGTGTTCAGCTCATAGGTAAATATGGCGGGCAAAAATTTTTAAAATTTGTTGTTGATTATTGAAAAACATACCAACAAACTTTCACTACGATTACGCCATTAATGTTTTCGTGGATATAATAATGATGCACCTCAGATGTTTTTCAATCGTATATACACAATAATGAAAAAGCGCTTGCCTGATATCCTGCCTCTTCAAACTGGATATTGATCTCTTCCTATTTTGGTACACGCGCGCATCAGCCTCCCTAAAATCATCATTTTCTCTACGGTTCCTGAGAAATGTTATGTGAAATATCGACGATACTGATTTCGATTTTCTCGAACTGATTGCGGTGTTTGACTGAATGCCCAAGTGATTGTACTAGAGCTGAAATTGAACCGAAATTCGTATGGAAAAAAATCAAAATGATGCTCGGTCGGAAGCAAAGTTTGAAGGGAGAGCCTGTCCTGGCTGATTATGGGCCTGATGAGGCATTCAATGAGAGTGCAGATACTGAATGGGTGAACAAAGTTAGTATAAACATTTTCGTATAATATCGACATGATATATATATTTAACTACCATTCCATTTAAAGAAATTGTGTCCTCAATACTCTCTGATTTTTTTTCGGTGCACACTCTGTATATACGCGGCAATAATTTCTGGTCATAGACACTCTTTTGCTCGCTCTGTTTAGTGTACAATCATTTTTTCATCATGTTTGGAACCCTGGCACCCCTTTGTATAAAAATAAAAATAATTTTACTATACAGGGTATTATTCACGTATGTGACCCAACTTTATAAGGGATGATTATTTTTTGGGCGATTCTAAGACGAAAAGTGTATTCAAACATAGGTCCAGGAATGTTACATTTTCAAATACAGGTTGTCAATATATAAATGTTTCAATAAGAAATAGTTTTTTTAATAATTACGACTCAAAATTCCGTTTTCGAATTTCAATAAAACTTGGTGTGATTAGATTCGGAATAATGATTCCAGTGACGTCGCAGTAGGTTATTAACATTCTCGATATTTATGGGAAATAATAAGGCACCTATATACGTCATAGTTTTTTCCAGCTTATTTTTTTTTTATAATTTCAATGAAACAACCCTGATGTGTATATATCAGAGTCATGCAAAATATGTCTTTCGGTTATCTTTCAGAGATGGGTTCGTCGAGTTATGAGGACTTGTGCTCTTCTGAGTCTTGCCTCAGTGAGCTGCAATACTCCAAAAACTTTCGAGAAATTTCTCTTCATGCAAATGACAACTTTTTATGTGGATGCGGTCGTTACTTTTCTTTTCACGTCAGAAATGATCGCCAAAATGCATATAAGAGGAATTTTGAAGGTAAATTATTATGTGTTGTCGTAGTATATGGATATATCGGCGCCAAACAGTGAAATATCCGTCATTCTCTGGAATGCCTAGTCATTTCACGTATTGCCGGCAAACAGCGTAACTATAAAGTTCGTACACTGTTTGCCTAATAGTTTCAGGCATTCCCTGTTATGACAAAAGGAAGGTTCATTATTTAGGTCGAGTCAGCTTAGGTTAGGCTAATTGACGCGGACACATAAAAAAACCCTGATGATCACGATGTCTGATGCTATACAATCATATGTAACCAGCATACTTTAGTCGTTGATTGATATATTACGGCGTGAGCGTAATATATTAATCAACGCCATGGTCAAGCTGCACCGGTCAAACGTCAGCCCATTGTATGGCATATTGTAATCGTTTGCCTATAATTTAGCCGGCACTGGGTCAACAATGTCAATTCGAATTATTTTTTCACCTGCGTCATACAATCATCTCTACCCATTATTATAATATGGCATGTTGAAATCGTTTTACTATAAGCTAACTATAACTAGCCGGTATACCGTGCCAAATAGAGTATGGTTATATTTCAATTTGATTTGAAAAATCCAATTTGTAAGTGTCCCTCCATATAAGACTTCCAGCCCCCTCATTTCACCACCCTCAAGTGGAAATTTTGTACTATCATGAAAATAGCGTAATATATGTATATGTTGCCAAATTTCAGGATCATTGCTTTGTTATTTTATACATATATATAGGTATGTTTATTCATTGCATTCAAATATTATCGTGAATAAGTCATCAAATTCTGCCATAAAAATAAGCAAGTCGTCTGACTCATAAAATGGGTATGGCAGAAGGTGTAGTACCTCAGTTGGAATAAGTCGTAACCGAAGAACCGGGGTTCGAATCCCGTGGCAGTCGATTTTTTTTATTTGAATGTATCGGCAGACATGTATACTGGCCCTGATGACAACCAGAGAGTCTCCTATTGATACTGGCCCATCAAAATGTTCACAGGAATTTTGCCAATCTGGCCAATTCTGGCCTGCATATTCTCGGCCAGCATATTCTGGGCCAGCATGAGGCCAACCAAAATTGTTTGCTGAGTATTTTTGGTCTACCACCTCTGAATGCTATTCTCATATGCAATGCTTACCACCTCTCACTATATTTTGCATCATTCATGATGTAAAAACATCCCTTCTAGACAGGACTAGATCCGATGAAAGCGTGCCAGCATCGTATAAATAATTATGATGCAGTTGTTTGGTGAGGTTAATATACTTTTGTTACTTGGGTGAGTCTGCTAAAATCTCTGTGTATAGTATGCCGTATTTATAGTTCAGATTAATAATTATACAATTCATCTTTATTCATTAATTCCTGGCCATCTATGATTCGGGTGTAGGTTCAGAAACAACTGTGGATTTCTGGATTCAGAAGGAGGTCGGAATTTGTACTGCCTTAAAAGTAGCTGGACAAGAATAAGATATTTCAGTTTCAATATTCTCCTGAAGATGATAACATTGTTAGCAAAACACATAAAAAATCGGTTCAGTTAGTGGCAATACATCAGTGTAGTGTGATCAAATCAAATATATAATATAAATAGATATTAATGTAATATAATATTATGAAATATTTCAGGGAGATCGACCATATCTGAAAGACCACTGGTGTCAATTTGATGCGAGCATGGTATTTTTCCTGTGGATCTCAGTGATACTTCAAATATTCGAAATTATCAGTATCGTACCAAGATTCAGTTACCTATCTATTCTGAGAGCTCCAAGGCCTTTGATTATGATAAGATTTCTGAGAGTCTTCCTAAAATTCTCAATGCCGAAATCTAGGATAAATCAAATATTTAAGTAGGTATACATGCGATGATGAAAATCTAATTGGCGCCCAACTATAGGTGCCACTTACTTATTATAATTATCAATTCCATTAAACAGTTTTTTATTCTGAAGAGCCTGTTATTTTCATCATTATTATCCTCCATTTCAGGAACTATTGAGCATGCCTTTATTATTTGAGTGTTGAGTTTATATTTCAACATTTTGATTACCAATACAGAGCCCGAGTATTGGGCGCCAATTTACTATACGCATCAAAACAGTTGGACAAAGTTTAATTTCCCATTTTTTTAGGCGATCGAGTCAACAGATTTACAATGTGACGCTATTTTTCTTATTCTTCATGTCTCTGTACGGTCTCTTGGGTGTACAGTTTTTCGGTGAATTGAAAAATCACTGTGTTACTGAAAATACAACGAATCCTAGGTGAGGTTATCAGTATAGGTATTATAATAGGATTTCCTTTTTTTTCATAATTCACCGCAACTATCTGCGAAACCCAGATCTGATATAAAAAAGATCTTGTGGAATTTTGATGAATCATATTGAATATATATAATTGTTGTACAAGGTGATTGTTTCAAGTTAGCTCTTGCTATATCCAGTCCACTATGGAAACAAAATAATTTGGGGACATAATCCTCTTCATTTTGCCCCTTTCACAAGAATTGCCATTTGAGTTTTGGATTTGGTTACATTGTTTCACGATAGGTATCAATACCTTATTCTGACTAATTCAATAATACGTCTTTGAATATGAAATGATGTTGAATAATCTTTGTTCGTATTTTAGAGACATCACAATCAACAGTCTCGCAATACCAGATACGTTTTGCTCTTTAGATCCATCTTCAGGTTATCAATGTCCGAAAGGTATGAAATGCATGAAGCTGGAGGGAGTATCACGATATATCATTGGGTTCAATGGATTCGATGAATTTGGTAGGTGAATAAAAAATATACAGGTTTTTCTCGAAGGTGAGGCAACTTTTCACAGATAGGAAAGATAATGGAGTGAATCCTGGATAAGAATGTTGAAAAAAGATAAGGTTAAAGTGTACTTCTAATTTCAACTCGATAACGTGTTACACTCCACAGGGTATTACAAATTTCATGAGAAAAACACGCCAGAATTGCTACACCCGGTATTCATTAGAAAGAAGTTTTTATGCGAATACAGTTCGCACACACAAATGTTCAGAGGGAAATTACCTGTCATTCAAAACAAAAAAGATCCAAAGCGGACAAGAAGTTTTGACGAAAATGTTTCGTAAACTCTCGGCTACATTTTAACGAAAACGCCCCAAGCCATAGCACTCCTATAAAATGAAATGACTTATCAAGTACTACAAGGTGGCAATAACAATTTTTTTCATAATTTCAATCGTAATGTTAGCGATTGTCAACTTTTTTTTCCAAATGGAAACATATATGTCATTCCCATTTGAAAAAACCCATCATCAACCGATATCTTGGAATTCGAACACCCTATAGATATGAAAATAGTTTCAGGTGATAGTTCCCAAGACAGCCTATTACTGTTTTTTTTTGAATTTTTTTTTTATATACCGGGTGACCAGTTATAGTCTGACCCATTTCGAATGCTCATATCTCTGAAACCATTTGAGTTTTCGATGTGCGGTTTGGACTAGTCTATTTTGATGCTTTTCAAGTTTTTTTTGACGTGTTTATTTTCTCACTTGAACTTCCGGTTGTACCGGAAACAAACAAGCAATAATCCAGGTATAGGGCAACTTTTTTATTTCATTGAATCACCCTGTATATTTTTGCACATTCAGAATGATTGGTCTTTTCTCTATCTAACAATGTATTACAAGTTATGGTCTCCTAGAAAACTATTGCAGTTATAACTCTTTGAAACAACTACAACAATGTTATCAAAGTTGCCCTGCTATACCTGAATAATGGCTTGTTTGTTTCCGGTAGAACCGAAAGTTCAGGTGAGAAGGTGAACCAGTCAAAAAACTTGAAGGATATCAAAATAGAGTCCAAACCGCACAACGATAATTTGAATAGCTTCGGAGTTGTGAGCAGTTGAAATGGGTCAGAATATAACTGGTCACCCGGTATCTGACGGTTTGGCTTATATAGAAGGAGAACACACTATTGACTCACCCTGTATATTGATCGATGCACTTCCCGGAGGGACACCCTGTATACAATATAGTTGTACATTTCTCGAATATTTTTTCAAGTTAGACATTTCAAATATTTTACAGAAATAATTCAATATTTCGAGAAAATGGCCAGGAAAGTAGTTGTTTCCTGTTAGATATTTCATCAATGATTATCTTATTTCTGCATAATCTAATGTGAAAATTTGTGGTGGGTTTTAGTGACCAGTTTTTTCACCGTCTACCAGGCGGCCTCGCAAGAAGGCTGGGTGTTCATTATGTACAGGGCGATTGATTCGCTGCCCGGCTGGCGAGCCGTACTGTATTTCAGCACGATGATCTTCTTTCTGGCTTGGCTGGTGAAGAACGTCTTCATAGCAGTTATCACGGAGACTTTTAACGAGATAAGGGTGCAGTTCCAGCAGATGTGGGGGATCAGAGGGCATATCCAGAACAGTTCTGCGTCGCAGGTGAGGAGATCCGAATCAGTGAAGATTTTTGGGGGTCTTAAAATGCACAATATAATAATAGTTATTTATGTATCAAGGGCGTAAAATAGGCTTTTATGGACCGCAGCGTGTAAGTAATAGACCGAGCGATAGCGAGGGCTATTAACACGCTTCTGAAGATACTACGATCCTGTCTGGCTCTGGGCTACATAACAGTGGAATGGAGATCGGTCAGGATCGTTTTTATCCCAAAACCAGGGAAAATAGATTATTCCCAGGCCAAAGCGTACCGACCTATCAGTCTGACGTCATTTCTCATGAAGACGTTGGAAAGGCTGATAGATCGACACATCAGAGAAGAGCCGTTGCAAACGAATCCACTGCACGAGCAGCAATTTGCCTACCAAACTGGAAAGTCCACAGACGCAGCAATCCATCATCTTATTCGAAGGGTGGAGAGAGTGCTAGCTTGTGGACGATCTGCCATGAGGGTCTTCTTAGACATAAAAGGGGCATTTGATAATACGTCATTTGAGTCCATCTGCTCCGCTGCGGAGAGGCATGGAACTAACCCAACTTTGATTAGGTTGATTCGGGCCATGCTATCACAGCGAGTAGTAAGAGCAGAATTGAGTGGGAGTTCTGTGACCGCCAGAGTATCGAGAGGGTGCCCTCAAGGTGGAGTGTTATCACCGCTCCTATGGTGGCTGGTGGTCAATGAGCTCCTCACAACCCAATCAGCACAAGTACGTCTTATGGACGTTTTAAAAACGTCCACTCTGGACATTCAGGACGTTTTGTGGACGTCCATTTCCGGACGACGGACGTCTTATGGACGTTTTGAGGACGTCCATTGTTAATAATCAGGATGTTTCGGGGACGTCCAGTTTAGGTCCAGACTAGGACCTTTTTGGGATGAAAAATGGACGTATTGAGGACATTCAGACAATATTGATTATTGTTTTTCTGACCCATCTGAAGAGTGAAATACTTGAATATTAGTTAACATTTATTCGCAAACAATAATATGAACAGAGATTCAGGTAGTTGTTTCAATTTCACTCTTCCATATCGTATATCAGCAGCTGCACCACTAAAAACGTCGCGTGATTCATCCAGGTACGCAGGCGCGATGATGTCTTTTTCTGATTGGCAGCCTTCTGTTGTCTTCTTCACTGGATCTGTAAATAATAATAATATTCAATGACATCTTCTGTGAATACCATAAACCATAAACACACACCCACTTTCAACGTGTAGTAGTCAGTATAGCGGAATACTTCATCATTTTTATTTCATTGAGAACTTATTCCATACATAAACTAATTCTTAGGTAGGTACCTATATAACCTCTATGAACCTTGCACGAATTATATTATGTTTTAACTATATACAAAAATATAAACTTTGGTAGATGATGGAAATAGGATATTAGGTAGAGCTTTGCATGAGATCAAATTATTTAGAAAGGTATCTAATGTTTTCAACTACAGATTTGATGTTCTTACTCAAGCATCTTCATGCGAATGAAGATAAAACGATAGCGTCGATAGCCATACTTGCCTTCAAATAAACATCTCGATGGAACTCGAGATCGAAGTTCACCAGTTGATAGATGATATCCGCAAAGATTTCACTTATTCACTGCTTTTACAGTCTAATAACCCGAAAAGTTCAGAATGTCCTTGGACCTGAATCACAGTTTAATCGGGCACTCGGCAGTGGTCAACTGACGGACGCGCGGACGCCATCTTCCTACGTTTTCGTTTCACAGTTTCACACGTAACACGCACAGTGTTGCCGGATGAAAATTTGTCGGAGCAGTTAGATGGGTGGGGAAAAAACAGTAGATCATCAAAACTGAACAGAAGATTTTGATAATCATCACAATTGCTATCATAAATGAAAAAACATAGTCACCTATATAATGAACGGAAAAAAAAATCATGTTCGGTCTCTATACCTATCAAAAATCGAACGAAGAATAACAAAAAATATTGAAATAAAAAATAAAATTTGTGAAAACCGCAACCAGATTGGAAATAAAAGCTAATTTTCACTAATCAGACTGAATAATAATATATGATAGTTGCAGTATATTTTCATCATACATCTTTCATTCTTACTGTGATGTCCCATTAATTTTTCATTGTTGCATATTGGGTAGTTACGTCATATCAAAACTTGACCAATCAGACCATTGCCTTGAATAGTTGAACAGTAGAACGGAGACAAAAACAGTAGATCTACTGCTGAAATAGTAAGTCTGGCTACGCTGAGCACGCATGCGTTCAGGTATTATGTGATTGAAGGAATATGATTCAACATAACTATATAAGTTGGTACAAATCAGTTAAAATCATAAATATTTCAAATTCATAATATTAATAATAAAATGAAATTCAATATATTGATACAGCTGATATATATAATATATTTTTTGACATTATTCATGTCCATATTCAATTCAATAAATCTAATTTCAAAATTTATATATACCTACCTACTTATATCAATTTAAACTGATATACCGTGAGAGTCTGTGAATTGGACGTTTTAAAGACGTCTTTTTCTGGACGTCCGGAGTATGTCCAATAATGGACGTCTTAAAAACGTCCATAAAAGGTCCTGGACGTTCAGACCAAAAATGGACCTAAAATGGACGTCTTGGGGACGTCCCGTGCTATCTGGGAATACTCAATGAGTCAGGGATATATGCGCAAGCATATGCAGATGACTTAGTTATTATGGTTCAAGGCTAATTGGTGAATCACCTAGGGAACTCCATGATGGGAGCTCTCAGGAAAGTGGAACAGTGGTGCTCCACCGGTGGGCTTAGAGTGAATCCCGAAAAAGCGGATCTGGTGTTATATTCACCAAGAAACGTAAAATAGGGACACTCCCAGAGGTTTTTCTCTCAGGAAGGTGTCTTCAATACAAAGGCTCAACCAAATATCTTGGAGTCACAATCGACTCCAAGTTGACCTGGAATGAGCATATAGGTAATCGCACCAAGAAGGTTATATGCTGTTACTGGGCATGCAGAAGAGCCTTCGGGAAAACGTGGGGCCTTCCACCTAAGACCCTTCACTGGATATACACGGCTATTATTCGCCCAACACTAACGTACGGGTCCATCGTATGGTGGACCAGTACTAAAAAGAGCAAAACCAGACATGAACTGGATAGAGTTCAGCGACTAGCTTGCTTAGGAATGACAGGTGCTATGAGGACAGCGCCTACTAGGGCCCTTGAGGTCCTACTAGGTCTGCCCCCTTTACATCTGATTGTAGAGCATGAAGCCATGCGCACTGCGTACAGACTCAAAGGTGCAAACCAATGGATCGAAAAGGCAGACTATGGACACTCCCTAATATGGAACAAGGCCGGAAAGAGCTGTCCCAGTCTGCTGATGGTAAGGGACAGCACTCTGCCAGTTCTGAATTTCAATAAAGCTCCGCATGTCATTTTTCCTACAAGAGAGGAATGGACTGGCAATACACCAGGCTTGCTTCCTGCCAACGAATCAACCTGGTTCACGGATGGCTCAAGGTTTGGTGGCGGGTCTGGTACAGGAGTATATGAAGGAGGAACAGGGAAAGGAATCTCAGTACCTCTTGGCAGATACGCTTCAGTGTTCCAGGCCGAAGTGTTTGCAATTCTGACGTGTGTCCAAGAAAATTTCGGCAGAAGTGGACGTGGACCAGTCACCATATGCTCGGACAGTGAAGCTGCTATTATGGCATTGAGATCCAATAGGATCACAACTAAATTGGTGTCCAAGTGTAGAAGTGCCTTAGAAAATATGGCAAAAACTAGGAAAGTCAGCCTCATGTGGGTTCCAGGACACTCTGGTATCCCGGGGAACGAGGAGGCAGACAGATTAGCCAAGATCGGTTCAGGAACGACACCCATTGGACCAGAACCGATATTGGGAATACCCAATAGTACGGCTATGTCCTTCATGAAGGAAATGCTACAGAGGCAGTTCCTTGAAACATGGTGGGACACACCAGGAATGAGACAATCAAAGCTCCATATAAAGGAACCTTCAAAAAGGCTCACGAGAGAGATCCTGTCACTTAATAGAAGGGATCTCAAGATGGTAGTTGGGCTCTTAACTGGGTACAACCACCTCAACAGGCACCTAGAACTCATAGGGATCAAAGATAATCCCATCTGCAGATGGTGCTTGGAGGATGATGAAACATCATCACACATGCTCACTGAATGCCCCGCGCTGGTGCATCAGAGGAAAGCTGCCTTTGGGAGCATTGTACTGCACCCAAAGGATGTGAAAGTGACTCTGCTGAGGAAGCTGCTGAATTTCGTCAAAGAAATCGGCATGCCCAGCTGAGTCACAGGACAAGTGGGCGCACAATGGGCCCGACTGAAGAGGCCTGAGTGCAGGGGTCTACGCACCCGCCCACCTGTGCAGAGAAGAAGAAGAAGAAGGAGATCTGAAGCGATATTACAGATATTAATAAAAAAACTATCAATTTTTAAGAACTTTACCACCCTGTATCTCAAATTTAGGACATCTAGGTCATATACGTTCATATAAAACTTTCTTCTTAGAATGGGCCCGAGAATCGCCTCCCCAAATATTGACATCCAATTATGGAATATCCTGTATATATATATCCATTTTTTATGTTCATAATATCTGAGAAGATTCCTTCTCAATATTTCATATTCCTTTGGAAAAAATGTATTATCTTTAGTATGATTTGGTAGATTGATAATGTTTCTCAAAGCATTTCCAACCTTTCCAGATACTCATTGGTGACGACAAGGCATGGAAACTCGTCACCTTGGACGAGAACAAACACGCCGGCCTGGCGCCCGAGTTCTGCCACAAGATCCTCCGGTCTCCCCACTTCCGTCTCATAGTCATGTGTGTCATCCTGGCCAATGGCATCGTCACAGCCACGATGCACTTCAAGCACGACGAGAGGCCGCGTCACGTGTTCTACGAAAAGTACTACTACATCGAGCTGGGCTTTACGGCCTTGCTGAACTTGGAGACGATTTTTAAGGTTTGGTGTCTGGGATGGCGCAGCTACTGGAAACACTCTATACACAAGTTCGAGCTGCTGCTAGCCGTGGGGACTAGTTTGCACGTGATTCCGAGCTTTTACATGAGCGGTTTCACCTACTTCCAAGTGTTGAGGGTAGGGAAAATTTCAGTTTCATTCATGAATTGAAATGTCACTTGAAATCTTCATGAAATCTATGAAATTTACTCAAATTTCATGAATTTCCAGAGTTTTATTGAAATGAGAGATGATGAAAATGAAAAATTTCAGGAACTTTCTATTGAAACATTCATTATTATGTACCTCGATAATTGTTGTTGAGACCTGTAATGGTGTTAATGAAAGTAATAGTTATTATAGTCCTTACAAAGACTAGCTCTCAGACTGAATAACAATAAAAAGACAAGGCTATTCATTTAAAAATTATTTGAAATTATACGCTGACAATCCTCAACGCCAAACACGGATGAATGATTGAAATCACGAATGGTGGGGATAACTCTGCAGAAATACGTGTTGCAACATAATGATACGTCATTTTAGTGAGGCTTCTCGATATTTTCAATAATCTAAACACGCTATCCATTCATAAGAGCAAGCCGGCTCGAAGGACCAACTGTTATCGTATCCGGCTCGAAGGACCAACTGTTGTTTCGTTTCAGTATTAATTCAATAAAACTTGTATTTCTGACGATTTGGAATGAAAATATGATTTGATCGAACTCAGAATTACGAGTTTTATGGAAATTGATACTGAAACGAGACAACAATTTTTTTGTCATGAGCTATTTATGCCAAGTTGAATAAGATGTGTCATCCGAAAAATCCTCTTGAATTATCGATTTAGCAGCGGTTTCGCAGACGTCCTTAGAATGTGATGTATTTTTCACAAAAGGAGTACTTAAGCAAAATAAATCAATATTTTTATTTACTCTGAGGTCCAGCTCCAGCCAAAAACATACGTTGTCGGTTCCTTTGAAGATCGTTTGAAGTCCGTGCACGTGGCGGGAATTTGTTCACGACAGAGAATTCAGGTAGAAATGTTGTGAAATCTATCAGAAATTTTGAAGAAATCGTGAAATTCTCTGAAAGTTTCAAATCTTTTATTATACATTATTTCAAAGCTCAATTATTGGCAGAGCGTCGGGCATGTAACCCAGAGGAAGTGAGTTCGACTCTCACGCAAGGCGGTGGAGTTCTTTCATTGTTGTCACTCCAAATTAGGGATTTCCATCATCTTCATTATTCATGGATTTTGCCATCATAGTTTGAAGATGCTTCCTTCCGTCCTTTCACACCATCTTCTCTTCCCTTTTCACCAAATCCACTAGTCCAGACATAATTCATGGACAAACTTCTCGCTTCCTTAGGTTTCCCATCGCTTGATTATCGTATCCGGCTCGAAGGACCAACTGTTGTTCCGTTTCAGTATCAATTCAATGAAACTTGTATTTCTGATGATTTGAAATGAAAATGAGATTTGATCGACCTCAGAAGTACGAGTTTCAGTGAAATTTTCAAATCGGAAATTTTCATTTCAATCGTCCCAATCCTAGGTAGTGCGACTCATCAAAGCTTCTCCCCTGCTGGAGGACTTCGTCTACAAGATTTTCGGCCCGGGGAAAAAACTGGGCAGCCTGATTATCTTCACCATGTGCTTGCTGATCATCTCTTCCAGCATCTCGATGCAGCTGTTCTGCTTTCTGGATTTTCCTAAATTCGAAACCTTCGCCGAGGCCTTCATGTCCATGTTCCAGATTCTGACACAGGAGGCCTGGGTGGAGGTGATGGACGAGACCATGTTGAGGACCAGGTCTATGCTGGCACCGCTGGTTGCTGTCTACTTCATTTTGTACCATCTCTTCGTGACACTGGTAAGTATTTTGGTACGATATGGTCAGTTTGTGGTGCTGTTTGGACGCTGACCAAAACGATTTTTGTAAGGTTTTCGCACGTATTGGCGCTATGGTAGCTGTTATATGTATTAGATCAGTTGAATCATTCTGTATTAATATGTTGAAGATGTTGCGATTGAATCATACCGTATTTGTATTGTCATTGTGACTGAGCACCCAGATAGCACAAAGACATCTTTAAGACATCCTAAAGACATCGTTTTCAGACGTTCACAACGTCTTTAAGACGTCTATGGACGCCTTAGAGACGTCTGAAAGACGTCCTCTATAGGCCGGATGTTAAAAATCACGACGTCTTTAAGATATCTTTATAATGTCTCTTCTGAGTCTTATAAAGGCATAGAAAAGACATGAGAAAGACCTTATTTCTGAATGGATTTCAGGGTTCCTCTGGGGATTAATTAATATGGAATTTGAAGTATTTGGATGTTAAAAGTATTATTCAATAACTGTTTTCATTCCTATGTTTTTCAAGTCAAAGTGCCAGTTATGAAGCAAACATGTAGGTACATACATACAACACAAAAAAATAGTTGATCTTTGTGACATTTATTTAAAAAGTACAACTACCAAGGACAGGTTTGACATTTCCAGAAAAGAAGTTGCTCGTCCACCCTGTTTATGATAGGAAAATTGAGAATATTCATTATGTTTCATATAACTGGTCTCTTCATATTTTTCTTGAAACAGGGCATCTCATCTACAGGAATACTGATTGTATTAGTCCCTCTGTTGATTGCTTTTTGTGTCAACCAAGCATATTCATATCTCTGGAAGATTCCACATTCTTCCTGAAAACAATGATATAGAGTTGGGTTTCAGGAGTTTACCAATATCATTATAAGGGAGTTCTTCTTACCTGACACACACAGTGGACTGTAAACATAATAAGGCATAATACTTATTATACTTCAATGCAATCATTTGCATCCATTTGACCAGCCAAAACCAGGTGGCCCGCATTTATGAGCTCAGCTTCATTTTGGAGACACTGAATCACTGAAAAAGTGTAGACAGATTGAAATGCACAGGCTAAATGGCCAAATCATAAGAATTCTTGTTCAATAATGATGAAAACTTACAGCGTATCATCATGTTGGTATAGGTTTTAGGTTCATCATTCCAACTAGAGGTAGGTAGGTGTTCTACTGTTGAACATTAGAGATATTATTGTCCTCCATCAAAACACAATGAACCACTGGAAAACACGGATTTAAAAAATACACAAATATCAAAGCTGAGATTGATTGAGAACTCAAAACGAAATTAACATAAACACACCTCTCAATAAACACCATCACCAAAACCAAACAATGTAAAATGTAAACAATCAAATAGTACTGGCATTCGCCGTTCTGGCTCTGGCGCAACGATCTCTCATTCGTTTGACATGGCGGTATTTTCAAATCATCCCACCCGATTTATAAGATAACTTACCTACTCTGAACAATCTATAACCTCTATGTATTACGGTGAAGTTATAAAAATTATGAAATTGAAAATATTCTATTAGCCTGAATCAATATGATCATACCTATATTTTGTATTAAAAGTTCAACGCATATTATGAGAATAGAACCATAACTACCTATATAAGTGTGGAATTCAGGAATTCTGAGAGTGGAGAACATTCAGATATGACACACTAAAAGTCATTATGATTAATACTTATTACAATACCAAATATCATTATTGCTCATTTGTATTATTGTTCTAAAATTGTTCTAAAATTGTTCTATCCGTCATTCGGTTGCCCCCTTACGAGCAACCCTCAGAAGTCTTCGAGAGTCTTGTGCGAGCAAGGAATGACGGGGGCCTTACCTTTTAACGTGTGATCCCAAACACTTTCTTGGGCCATCAGAAAAATTTCTGCAGTCGACGGGACTCGAACCCACGACCGGCAAGCGAATGCGGATTAGAATATGGACACTCTGTCCGCACGGCTACCTGGCTACGATGTCTTTAAGACGTATTCAGGACGTGAGAATCAGATATCTTTAAAACGTCTGAATAATGACATCTTGTAGACGTCTTATTCAGGGAGTAAGACGTACAGACTAAGATAGGATATAAATCAGACATCTTAAAGACGTCTTGTGCTATCTGGGCATGTCATTGAATAAACGTTGCTTCTAGAGTCAAACAGATAGATCTCATTTTTATTACAAAAAGTATTAAATAAAACATGGTGTCAGGTTATAACTGAAGAATCCACGATGGAGAAGAAGTTCGAAGAGTTGTTGGAACAATTCAACATTCTTAAAAGTACAACTCAAGAGATAGAAAAGGTCAACAAACAAACAGAAGAACGTCTAGCAAATATAGTGAAGGAGAATGAAAAGTTGAAACATATTCAACAAAATTCTATAGAAACAAAAACAACAGTGCCATTACCAGCCCCAATCAAGTTGGAAGGGGATATAAAGAACAATATTGAATATTTTGAGAAAATGTGGCTGAACCATCTATTGATAACAGGCTTAGCAAATCAATCAGAGGAAGTGAAAATTGCTCTCTTGCTGTCATGCATCGGGGAGGAATCATGCAAGATATTATATAAAATAGAAAATGTCCAAGAATCAGAACAAACAGCAGACAATTTGTTAGCAGTTTTGAAAAAACATTTAGCACCAGCATTGAATGTGAGATTTGAGCGATATTTGTTCAATACAATCAAACAAGAAGAGAATGAATCATATCATACATATATCATTAAATTAAGAGCTATGGCAAAAACGTGTCAGTATGGAGATATGGAAGACGAATTATTACTTGACAAAATAATTTGCTCTATAAAAGATAAGCAGATGCAACAAAAATTATGGCTGAAAGTTGATATTAAATTGGAAGAAGCGATACAAATATGTAAATCTTCGGAAGTTGCTGAAAATCAGCTCAAACAGATGCAACCCATTACCAATGAAATACATAAAATCCAAAATAGAAGAAGAGAAACTGACAAAAGGAGTTATAATGAAGATAATAAAATATGCAAGTTTTGTGGGTACCAATGGCACAAGAAACTGACAGACTGTCCAGCTAGAGAGCAGAAATGCAATTTCTGCAATAGAAATGGACATTTTCAATCAGTTTGCTTCAACAGAGTAAAAAAAGAAATAAGAGAAATTGAAATAACACAAGATGTGAAGAAAGAACTAGTGGACCACATTTTTCAGATAAATTCAACTAATGCAAAAATCACTCAACTGATAGAGGTGATAACAGACAAAAATATTATAAAAGATGTATTATTTCAACTAGACACGGGTGCGACCTGCAATGTAGTAGGTTTGAAGAATCTAGAAGAAATCTATGATGAGCAAAATATTAAATTGAATCATTCAAGAACTACCCTAAAGGTTTTCGGTGGTTCTGTTATAAAACCAGTTGGTTCAAAAATTATCAAAATAAAAACTGATGGGATGGTTCGTAATCTTGAATTTCAAGTAGTGGAATTCAAACATGATCCACTTTTATCAGCCAATGCATGTGAAGAATTGAGATTGATAAAATATTGTAAGGAAGTCCAAACAACTAGATCATCAGATAAATCAACTCAAGATATAATGGAAGAATTCAAAGAAATATTTCAAGGTATAGGAAAACTTGCAGGAGAAGTGAATTTGGAAGTTGTAAAAGACAGTAAACCAATCAGAGAATCTCCAAGAAGAATTCCAATAGCATTAAGAGATGAACTTAAAAAAGAAATAGATAGCATGAAAGAAATGGAAATAATAACAGAAGAAACAAACTATACAGATTGGGTTAGTAATGTTACAATAGTAAAAAAGAAAGACAAAATTCGGATATGTTTAGATCCTACACATTTGAACAAAGTATTGAAAGATACAAAACAACAGCTGCCTACATTGGATGAAATTTTGCCTGAAATAAACAAAGCGAGAATATTTTCTACTGTGGATGCTAAAAAAGGATTTTGGCAATTAAAGCTAAGCGAAGAAAGCAGTAAAATGACAGCTTTTTGGACACCGTTTGGAAAATATAGGTACCTGAGGTTACCTTTCGGTATTTCGACAAGTATGGAATTGTTTCAGAAGAAAATGTTGGAAATAATCCAAGGATTAGAAGGAGTATTCGTGATAGCAGATGACATACTGATAATAGGTAGAGGAGAGTCAGAAGAAGAGGCGATGAAAGACCACAACCAAAATTTAGAAAGACTATTCGCGAGACTAAAAACAGAAAATTTGAAATTAAACCGAGAAAAAGTAAAATTGTGCCAAAAATCGATACAGTTTTACGGTCATTTGTTAACTGATAGTGGTGTAAAAGCAGATCCTATCAAAACTTCAGCAATTTTAAATATGCCAGCTCCTCAGAATGTCGGTGATGTGCAGCGATTCCTAGGAATGGTAACTTATTTGTCCAAATTCGTAAGAAAATTGGCAGATATATCAGAGCCATTGAGGAAACTGACACATAAAAATGTTGAATTCAGGTGGGAAAATGAGGAATGTTCGGCATTTGAAGAAATAAAGAAAAGAATTGCTGAAATAACGGAATTGAAGTATTATGACATAGAAAGGCCAGTAAAAATAGAGGGCTTTAGGGTGTGTTTTAATTCAAGATGAACGTCCTGTAGCGTATGCATCAAAAACATTAACAGCAACACAGAAAAATTACGCACAAATAGAACGGGAAATGCTAGCAATAGTATTTGCATGTAGGAGATTTGACCAATATATTTGTGGCAAAAGAATTCTTATAGAAACTGACCATTCACCTTTGGTAAATATTTTAAAAAAACCGCTCCTGAAAGTCCCAAAACGGTTACAAAGTATGATTTTGAGTTTGCAGAGATATAACATAGAATTGAAATATAAACAAGGTAAAGATATCATCATAGCAGATACATTGTCAAGAGCACCAGAAAATATTCATAATAATGAAAAAGCAGTGGATATTTATTGGATGGAAGAGGAAGAGAGTTTTGATAGGATATGTACTTTGACAAATTTGAAAAATCAACGGAGATTTGAGGATATTGGAACGATAGGATTTCAAGATAGCACTTTGAAAAGAATAGGCGAAGAAACAAAAAAGGATGCGACGTGCAGTAAACTGATTGATATAATAAGAAAAGGATGGCCAGAGCGAAAAACAACACTAGAAGATGATCTGAAAATATATTGGAATTTCAGAGATGACTTGATCATTGAGGATGAGTTGTTATTAAAAAATTCACAAATACTTATACCATCAAATATGAGACGGGAAATGATTGAAAAATTACATTGTGGACATATGGGAATAGAGAACACGAAGAAAATTGCTAGAGAAAGTATGTTTTGGCCAGGCATTTCTTCAGACATAGAACAAAAAATAAAGTCATGTGAAATTTGTGCAAAATTTGCCCCCAACCAAAAGAGAAACCTAATGATGACAGTAGAAACACCAGAATTTCCTTTCCAAATAATGAGTATGGATATTTTTGACATAGCAATAAATGGTTTGCAAAGAAAGTTCCTAATTCTGGTTGACCATTTCTCAGACTTTTTTGAAATGGACGAACTGAAGAGTATGGCAGCCAAAGAAATCATAATTTCGTGTAAAAGACATTTTGCGAGATATGGTACACCTCAATTGATCATCACAGACAATGGCGGAAGTTTCGTTAATAAAGAATTTGAGCTGTTTCAGAAAGAGTGGAACTTCGAACATAAAACTTCTAGCCCTCACCACCAACAAGGGAATGGAAAAGCAGAGGCAGCAGTCAAAATAGCTAAGCAGCTCATGAAGAAGTCTGTAGAAGAAAGAAGTGATTTTTATCAAATGTTGTTGGTATGGAGAAACACGCCAAACAAGGTGAATATCAGTCCAGCTAAACGTTTGTTGGGAAGATGGTTACGCTGCGAGATTCCCAATAGGGATTTGAATCAACATACTCCAGAATATGAGGATGTGCAAGAAAGAATAAATGCAAAGAAAGAATATATAGCGAAGAATTACAATAAAGGTGCAGAAAATAGAGAATGTGAGATGACAATAGGACAAAATATTTTCTTCAAAGAAAAAATGGATGATAATGAATGGAAGAAAGGGAAAATACTAAGCAAAGTTGATGATCGGTCCTATAACATTGAAAACGACAAAGGAAATACAATAAGAAGAAATGAAATAATGATAAAACCGAACATGAATAATGAACAATTGGATAAAAGATTAGATGGTATAGAAAATGATGAAAATAGGCAGATACAAGACGCACCGTTAGCTGTTAGAAGAGATAAAAGAATCATAAAAATTCCTGAAAGATTTCAGAGTTAAAAAAGGGGATGTTATATGTATTAGATCAGTTGAATCATTCTGTATTAATATGTTGAAGATGTTGCGATTGAATCATACCGTATTTGTATTGTCATTGTGACTGAGCATGTCATTGAATAAACGTTGCTTCTAGAGTCAAACAGATAGATCTCATTTTTATTACAAAAAGTATTAAATAAAACAGTAGCATCTCCAGGAAGAGATCAAAACTCTATGTGCTCCAGGAGATGTTAGAAACTAGAGATGCATCAAGACAAGAATGGGCTTATATCACAAAAAAATTTTATTTCATAATTCGATAGTACTCACCCAAACTAGCTCACCACCGCAAACCGTTTCTTGCTGTGAGCTCCCTACGTTTCATAAAAAAATATTGAAATCCCCGATTTTTCGGACCTCTGAAAACGAGGCGATGATGTGACGTCAAAACCCTAATACTGAAACAAGACTATTCCAGACAGAGATGAATGATACATGATTTCTGACAGAGTGAATTAGCGCGAGATCACAGTTGAAAGAATTAATATATCAGTTGTTTCAGTCTCCGTCTGGTGTTTGGTATTTTCTTTTAACTATGGCGAGATGAGGTTTCTACGTCATAAGAGGGTCCGTTTTCAGAAGGTACTATTTTTTATGTCCAAAAATAAAACATTCTAGTTAATTTGTGATCGAATTATGTCGTCAATCATTATTTATGTATAAAAGGATCATTATAAACATGGTTTGAGTTGAAAGTTCTACTAAGGTGTACACACCCATTCTGGTCTTGATGGTTATTACTTTTCTCGTCTTGAAACATGTTTCGAGAAATTGATAATTTCTTGTCTTGGCCATTCATTGTCACTTCATTTCTTATCTTGATCCCAATAAATCAGGAAATTTTGAAAATGCTTGAAATAGTTGACCCTGTATTAATCGGGGAGTTGAGTCGACTGCGTTCTCAACTATACAGGGTGTTTCCGAAACAGAGCATCTTTAGAAGATAAGCATAATCAAATTTTCTCCTGGAGATGTTTGCATAGTTAGCTGAATTTCTTCATTTTACTCGACGATTATACAGGATGGTAACTTTATTACACCTACACCATACCGGTTCAAATATAGACGGTGGCATTTTGGGTTTGGTTGACGTTTATCGTAATTTGTCCTTGTTGAATGATGAAATAATTTCTTGCGAAAACATGATATCTTTTTCAGATAGTGTTGAGCTTGTTCGTGGCCGTTATCTTGGATAATCTGGAATTGGACGAGGATATTAAAAAACTCAAGCAGCTGAAATACAGAGAACAAAGTGCCGAAATCAAAGAGACACTACCATTCAGGCTCCGAATTTTCGAAAAATTTCCCGACAGCCCTCTCATGGTCACTTTGCATAAAGTTCCATCAGATTTCAATTTGCCCAAAGTAAGCATTTTTTTTTAATTATAAGTACATATACTACATCATTGATTTGTGCAAGAATAAAAAAAAAGTTTCTCGTTAATTAATTCCATTTCTTCTACTTGTGGAAAAATGTTGAAATCCCTGTTTTTTCTGTATGTGAAGGATGCAAAATCTGCGAAAAAATGTTCCTTGTTCCTTCATGAAATATTTTCTGAGTTCAATTCGCCGGAAGTAAAAATTTATTTTTCTGCAACCGACACAAAAGTCGTCCATTCAAATGCCAAATTTAGCTCTTGAATTGACGTTTCTATTACTGACACAAACATAAATATGTTGCTAGGTAATACTTTCAGTTCAACTTCAGCTCCTAGGAACTAAAAAGCCTGAACTAGGTCATCAAGAATAAACAACATTGTTACAGTTGGTTATTTGGGTTGGTACACCTGATTTGCTTCCGATTTCGGCAGATTTGGCATCTTATACCCATTCTATAGTTGATTATTTTTGTTTTGATCAAGATTCACATTCTTGCTCGATCTGTAGTTCATTCGGTTTCTGATTGATTGGATAACTTGTTTTTGAATAATCAAGGCCAGCAATACCTGTTTGTCTCATACAACGATAATGTTTACCTTCTTTTAATTACCCAGCCGAGCACAGTGGGATTTGGAGAGAAATAAATAATCGCTTTCATTATTGTTGATATGCTCACTAACCTAACATTTTCCACTTCTTTTTCCTATACCTGGCACTGGCGCGGTATTTGCTATTAGGGCTGACACCTGGTCCAAATGAATTCATCGATTGATCGATTCAATATAATACTCAAATCGGTCACACTGTGCTTGTATTTAAGAATTTAAGAAATTCCGCAACGGCATCCGTTTTCATGATACAAGGTGTTGAAAAAATGATTTTTTTACACATTTTTCGAGATTATTTCGAAACTACTGGCAACATTGTGCTAAAATTTTGTATGGATGTTTCTTGAAATCTGACACATCGCATGCATTTGTTTTTATACCTGACTCTCATAGAGGGCGCTAGTTACACGGTTCGTACCGAGTAGTTTTGAACATAACTTTTTTGAGGTTAGATTTTTCAATCCAAATTTGATGTGAACTTGAACATCATTCAATTTCACACCAAAAAGGTACTCTTGGTAAAACTCGATACTGTGTTCCGTTTTCGGAATATTTCGATTTGAAAATAATGTAGTCGTAATGATGATGGTATAAAATAAATTTTTCGTTAGGTAAGAGAAAGTTTCATGAGACAGTTCGTCTACGAAACAGAGGAAGACGAAAACTCAGAAAGCGGCTTGAAAAAAATCAGCGAAGAAGTGTTCGACTCCAAAATAATTTACAGAAAACAAAAACCGTTGAGAATTTTGAATGATCTAGCCAAAGTCAGAGTCGTGAATCTGAAACTCAAGAAAACTTCAGTCGCTCATATAATAAAGTAAGAATCCTCGTTTCTTTTTCTGTTTTCGACTTTTACTAATGAGAAATAATTCCGAAGCGATTCGAATAATCAGCGGTTGATGCTGGGAGATTCTTCTATCATACCTGTGCCAGGTGCCAAAGGGACTTTGAAGCAGCAAGGGACAGCCAATAGTATGAAACAGTTACGTATTGACCATAAGAAGTGAGTTAACACTGATTGGTTACCAAATTTCCATCTGAAACAACATTGGCATGCAAAATTCTAGAGTTGAAATGAAAATTTACAGACGATTTGACGTGTTCCAGTTTTTTCGTATTCGAATTGAGAAAAGTGTTAGACTATTCTCCTCAAAAACATGTTTCTTCATCATTTGGAAATAGTAATTTCCCTGATTTAGGAACAATATTTTTTCTACAAGCGTGCGTGATTCGCCCTATACCCGCACGCAGGTTAGTTTGTGAAGTGTCATTTCCTCACAGTAATGCGGGAAAAACATTTATACAGGGTGGGCCACCAGTAACGCCTCGGTCTCTAGAAGGCTAACCACTTATCTTCTTGGAATTCTTCCTCTCTAGGAAGTTGCATGTCAACATAGGCTACCATTTAAAATTATTTCGAAACATACAGGGTGTCCCCAAAAACCATAAAACACTGAAGTTAAACTTTTTTCTATCGAACACCCTATATATTATTTCATTTTGAGATTCTCCCTGATGAGCTGATTTCAACGACCCATCATACTTGGGGTCTAGCAGTTATAATTACTGAAATATAAGGTGTGAAAAATCGAGATTTTCCAAGTTCAAGAATTTTTTGTGTCGAAACTATTCATAACTGGTCAAAACGGCTCACATGTCCCTATCACAACTTTTGATCAACTATCTACTGATATTTAATTGGGGCATATACCGGGTGATCAAGATTCTGAATTCTGCACCACCCTGTATTTGTTTCAATTAAATGTCAGTAGATAGTTGATCAAAAGTTAAGATAGGGACATGTGAGCCGTTTTGACCAATTATAAATGGTTTAGACACAAAAAATTCTTGAACTTGGAAAATCTCAATTTCTCACACCCTATATCTCAGTAATTATAACTGCTAGACCCCAAGTATGATGGATTGTTGAAATCAGCTCATCAGGGAGAATCTCAAAATGAAATAATATATAGGGTGTTCGATTGAAAAAAGTTCAACTTCAGTGTTTTGTGATTTTTGGGGACATCCTGTATGTTTCAAAATAATTTAAAATGGTAGCCTATGTTGACATGCAACTTCCAAGAGAGGAAGAATTCCATGAAGATAAGTGGTTGGCCTTCTAGAGACCGAGGCGTTACTGGTGGCCCACCCTGTATAATATTCTCGCAAAAAATGAGTGGTGGGTGACACAATATGAAAATTTTAGTTAGTTTTGTTGCAGTATTCAGTATGTTCGTACAAAATCATCTATCATCATTCTCCGAGTTTCCTTGGCATAGAGTATGCTTTGACTCTGAGGACCCTTTCACAGTGTGCTGCGGAAATATCCGAGATCATCATGCTCGGAATGGACACATACATACCTCATTCGTCGAAAAATAGTCACCATCGAAACCCTGGTTCAACAAAAACTGTTCTAGAACTGTTGCCTTGAAACAAACAGCCTACCATCGCTGGCGCAAAAACCCTAACCTCGCGACTAGAGCAGAATACGTTGATGCCAGGAATAACTGCAGCCAAACAATAGATGCTTCGAAAGAAACATACAATGCCAAGATAAGATCGAAACTCATAGATTGTCCCAATGGCTCCCGTTGGTTTTGGTCCCTTGCTAAAGTGGTCGGAAGAAATTTAACTAATAGTTCATTTCCACCACTGTCCAAATCCGACGGCACATTAGCAACAACATCGCAGGAGAAAGCAAATATTTTTGCAGAGATGTTCGCAGCAAACTCTACTTCAGATTCCCCAGGAAAAGTGCCAGACATTCCACCGATTGAGAGTCGAATGCCCGAAATCGTCTTCCGTCAACGCACTATCAGACGAATTTTGCTTGGTCTCAAAACGAATAAGGTTAACGGTCCTGATGGAATTCCACCCATTATCCTCAAAAAATGTGCACCAGAATTAACACCGATTCTCTGCAAGTTGTTTACCGTCTCGTACAGGTCGGGTATTTTTCCATCATGCTGGAAGACAGCTAGAGTCCAACCAATCCCTAAAAAAAGGAACAAGAACCTGCCGAACAACTACAGGCTATAGTAAAGAAGTGAAAACACCATATAAAAAAGAAGTATTTTTGGCTCATTTCCTAGAAATGTCTGAAACCTAGTGGCCAAACACCATGGGCATGCTGGCTTCCTCAATAAGCTTACCTACATAATGCTTCAAACAGTACACACAATAGATATATGACTAATTATTAGAATATATCACTATTTTTAGTTGTTGTACAGGGCAATATACAATTCGATCGGATAAAATTTTTTAGAATCTTAGGTGTCGGACTCCAACGTTAATTCTAGAATTGACCCAAGAATGCTCGTCCCAGCAGGTTTGGCCTTAAAAATCTGAACCACAACTGATAATGTTATACAGGGTAAAAAAAACATGAGCCTTTTTGAGGTCCTGTATAATTTCAAAAAAAAAAACATATTGGGGTGTTATTGTTGTTAAGAACGAGATATATTTTCAATTAATTTACTCATCTCAGTTATCGAATTATCTCAATAGGTGTATTGTAGCAGCAAAAAATATACAGGGTAATACAATTCAATAGGATCAATTTCGGATAATGTTATATCTGAGCTTTTATTCTTGAATAAACTCAAGAATAATCCCAGCATGTTTGACTTTACAGACACTGAACTGTCACAGATAATGTTATACAGGGTGAAAATAATCACATAAGGCTTTTTGAGACCGAGTATAAATTCCAAAAAAATATACAGTGTGTGCGATTTTGAACCCGCAACTCCCTTCTTATTTGGAACCCGTCGACTGATATACAAAAACAAAAATTCCATAATATAGTACTCAACGAGCTCTATTAGAGGATGTGAACAAATTTGGAATATTAAAATTTTCAAGGCCTACTTTTGTTTGTTGAAGGGGTCAAAATTTCAAAAACGGCTATTAGGCAATTTTTTATCGAAACTGTGACTAGACTATCCGATTCAGGCATAGCTGAAAAAAGACCATTAGCAATTTGAACGCAAACTCTTCTATAGGGTGTTAGTTATTCAGTGGCAAATTTTGATATTTTTGATTTTTCGATTCACCCTGTATCAAAACCGGTGAAGTAGTCATACTATTGAAGGAACACATCGGATACTCAGATACGAAGTTTCATCGTTGTAACTTCTACAGGAAGATATCTCTTGGTCAACCAAAAATTACGAATTTGATACGAAAAAACTGGAACACAATAATATGGTACAAAAAATATGTTACGTGAACAAAAAAATTATTATTCATAGATTTGGTTCGAGATCCATAAGACGAAGTGTACGGAGTGGATCTATCAAACTAAAACAAACCTACGAACATCTGATGGAAAACGGCGATATAGGGGTAAATAGGGTGACTTCTAACAGAGCCAGGCCACATGATTTGGATATAAAACTTTTGCAAGCCAAAAGACAACAAGCCGAGATGAGAAGGTGAAAAATCGATGAATTTTATGTGATTTTTATGTGACTGACTCACTTAAGACCTGAGCAATATTATGAAATCTACAGGTATCAATCGATTACATTATTTTTGTTTCAGCAGAAAGAGTAACAGAATGTGGATAATTCCAATTCTCAAGGGCATACTATGTTTTTTTTTGTGAATTTTGTTAAGATAATTTGATTCCGCCACTGAACTTAGCATCCTTCAATTATTAGCTCAATTTCGAAATTTCATGGAAACATTTTTACTGGAAACAAAGTTGCACCAGCTACTTATACTCGAAATCATCTCCACGACATTTTAATATGATCAATAACGATCAAATCAATTGATACATGTTTTGGACATATACAGGGTGTATCTATATAACACCGAAAAAATTCAAGGGGTGATTCCTTGGGATATTTTAGGCAATAAAGTTCATGTAAACATGTGTCCTAACTTGCTTCGTTTTCGAAATACAGGGTATTAATATTTCCATGAAAAATCTTTTTTCTATTATTTTCTCAATTGTCTCTTCATCAATTCCAATAAAACGTTTTGGTTTTCTTGATAGCAATATGGAGCTTCTTCTAGTGCAATTAGACTCGAAATAATATTTCCAGTGGCGTCACAGTGGGTAAATTTATCGATATTTATGGTGAATGGTCATTGTACACCACCGGTTTTTCTGAGTTTAATATTTTTATTAGATTGAACTATTGAAATAACAACTTTTCCATCATAAAAATTCGATTTGACTTCAAATTTTGAAATAGGCGGTGTTTTCAAGACTTCCATTGAGATTACTCAATAACATTTTACTTGATTTTTGGGATTTTCTCTTCTCGTTTCAATAAAATAAAAATGAATAACCCCAATTGGAATCATTTTGAAATTTTGGGGCTTACTCAGTCTCCATCCATACTGGATTTTGGAACCATATGGAAGCTTATACAGAGGGATTACGAATAAAAACAATTGATACTTCCAACTTCAACATCCTGTATCTCAAAAACGGAGCAAGTGAGGACACATGTTTATGTAAACTTCATTTGCTAGAATATCAGAAGGAAACACCCCTTGAATTTTTTCGGTGTTATTCAGATACACCCTGTATATGTCCATCCTGAGCCTGAGAAAATTACTACATCTCTGTCCTAGAATGAAAGTGAATAAGTACATAAAATTCTTTTTCAACTTGATACGGAATGCTTACGTGGGAATGAAACAACAGTCATGGAACAACCCCAATTTCCAGAAAATAATATTAGGAGTCAAAATAGGTCAAAAAATCATTTCAGATTCCGCATCAGGACGCCCAATTCATATTTTTCCTGGAAAACGTTCAATTCTAAAAAATTGAATGTTGTCGCACTTTTTACGGAAGCACCCCGTATCTTACGTAATTGACTTCAGCGAAGTGAGACAAAATTTAATTTTTCGGAATTGAAAATTTTCTAGGAAAACTATGAATAGTTAGTGAATTGGGCATCCGGATTCCGAATCCGAAGTGATTTTCAACCTATTTTGCATCCTAATATCATTTTACGAAAATTAGGGTGGTTCCATCGCTGTTGGCGAGCAGTGTATATCACTGAAGATAGCCCCACTTGGTCATAGAGTGCATTTTTGGTATATCTCTCGCTCCAGAAAATCCATATCCAACGATTACGTAAAATACTATGGGGTGTTTCCATTAGAAATGGGTCACACTCCCAACTAGCATTTTCAGTCACAGGCACCATGGTTCAAGAAACTATTACCTATATTTAGTGATAATAACGTATTTATCACTTATTTCAGAACTTCATAGTATAAATGTCAGTGATAGTTATTTAGTGAGTGAAAATTACGTAGTTTTTACACTAGATAATAACTTCAAAGTGAGAAATTCTCATGGCTTATTACGAAGTAACTATTTCGAAACTGTCACTCCTCAAAACTACTCTTAAGGTTTCGGAACTTTGGATATATTATTACGGTAACGCTTACCACCCCAAGAAGGCTTCACAGTTGCAATTACTCTATGGTCACCAATTAGGTTTCTACGACGTTGTCGTTACTTGATCGATCACCTAATAATTTAGTCAATTCTTGGTGATATTTCAAGTAACATATTGGTAATTCCTACTCAAACAATTCCTTCATAGTTGAAACAACTTTTCGGTAATTATATTCAGTTGAAGTTACCAATACATAGGTTATCATAACTGACGAGTTCCAAAAGTAACTTTCTGATTCATTTTCGATTGGAAGCCATATTGATTGATGTGATAACCATTTGAACAGGAAATAATTTTGGTTTTTCTTGTTGATAAACATCATTTTATGAAGAATAATAGCATTCGTTCGATCACAAATTGCATAATAATGGAAATTAACATGATTTACGATGATTTTTGAAAAATAGCCGAATGAAATAAAACCATATTTTTGGTGAAATGAGCCGTATTTTGTGGGCGCATCTTGAATTTCGAGGCAAAATCATCACATTTATCGAAAAACTGAATGTTGTTCGAATTTTTCAAGTTCGAGTATCAATTATTTCGCGTGTTTGTCCTTGTATTATTTATTGAATGGTTAGGCATATTGGACTTGTTCATTTTTCGTGAATGTGAACTTCATGGATGAAATGAAGAATAATAAAGAGAGAAAATAATATTTTTATGAAGTGGAAAAGAAATAGAAAGTCAGGTAGGAAAATTTACTACATCTTTACGTAATTTCGACGTCGACGGGTCGTAAGCATTACGTAATTGTGTGAGTTCCCGCTACGTAGGCAAACCGTAATAATTACTCGTGATTTGTTCCCCATATTGGTCGTAAATACGTAGTAACGACGTAATTATAACGTAACCGCAACTAGTAAATATTACTTAATAGTCGACCCAATAGTCGTAATTACGTAATCGCGACTATAAATGCTAGTTGGGCTGTATATGTCCGGAATACGTACAAATTGATTTGATCGTTATTGATCATATTAAAATGTCGTAGAGATGATTTCGAGTTACTACTTCACTGACACAACATTAATTATAGTAACAAACCATTTTTTATTGATATTTCAGACAAATTCTGAGAAGCGGCAACATTGTCAACATAAAAGTCGGAAATCCTTGAGCTTACTGGTAGATATTCCTATTCATCACACAATTTTTGCTAGAGTTATAACATCTAGAATTAAGCCCCCATTCTAGGTGTTAAAACTCGAAAATAATTCTTGCCATGAACTCGATTGTCTACCAGAAACTTCCAACATTTGTGTTTACAATGTTGCCGCTTCTCATAATCTGTCTGAAATATGTATTCATAAGAAATGGTATTTTACGAAAATTATAAGTTTCTTGCCAATCAGAAATTTTCAATGATATTTTGTAATTGGCCTGATTAATGGATGCTGAATCCAGTGATGAAGTCAAATTTTCTTTTTAAAAAAACGACAATGATATTTTATTGTTATTCTTAACATGAGAAAAATATGGCAAAGTTAGTATAAACGAAAATCTTTTGATACTATTTCAGCTGAAACAAAGAAAAATCGTATGCAAACTGTAGATTTTATAAAGGTGCCACTGTCTTGAGTGATTTTCAATGTCGTTGTTTCTTCTTAGGAATCAACGTGAAGAAGACCTAAGGGAAAACCACCCATTTTTCGACACCCCTTTATTTTCAGTTCCAAGAGAAAGTAGATTCAGAAAATTCTGTCAATTGATTGTGTACGCTAGATACGATGCCAGATTGAAAGATCCTCTTACAGGGAAAGAAAGAAAAGTCCAATACAAGACACTACAGTAAGTTGTGCTCTTGTTTTCTTCGTCGGAAAAAGTTACTTGTATCTAAATTTCCAGCAATTTTCTGGGATTGGTGACCTATCTAGACTGGGTGATGATAACAATGACTACATTGTCATGCCTTTCCATGATGTTTGAGACTCCTTCTTATCGCGTCATGGAGAATGTCAGCCTTCAAATTGCCGAATATGGCTTCGTTATTTTCATGAGCATGGAGCTGGCCCTGAAAATTTTGGCTGACGGATTGTTCTTCACTCCGAAGGCTTATGTCAAAGATGTGGCTGCACTTTTGGACGTTTTCATCTACTTGGTGAGCGTTTTTTGTTAATGAATACTACAGAATAATGATTTTAGCTAGAGAAAATACAATGTTCTACAATTTTTAGTTGAGTTTGCCTTATTGATGAAGATATTTCGAGTTCATATACCTGAATGTTCACTGTCCTTAAATACTGTTTGTAGGTTAATCGAGGAGATGGTACAGTCGTATTAAAAAAAAGCGTACAAGTATATTGGAGGGAGAAATTAACGTCATCCTATTTGCCTGAAACGGGCTATCAGGAATGAATGTTCACCAAATGTTGACAGTAGAGTAATCATAGGTTCTTAAAAACACAAAGCATTGGCTGAGCCAATTTTACACAACGAGAACTATAGGATGCCGAAATCTTCTATGTTTAATACTTGTACGCATTTTTATTGAATACGACTGTACATTCATTATTTCAGATTTTTTTTTGGATTTCACTCCTCGTCTCTATGAAATAAAAATATGAATACTATTTCAATATACGCGTAGTGGGGAAAAGTCAGATGATTTGCCCCACTACGCCATCAAAAACTCAATTTGATCAGTCTTGCTGACAGAAGAGCTATTGCCGACATCAAATTTTCTTTCGAAATTATAAATGGTATCATTCATTCTCCATCCATCAATAACTTGATTTATTACAATATTCCACAATATTCCACCCGCCATTATAATCTGTTCCATACATCCATACCAAACACAAATTACTATTTGAATTCCCCTTTACATCGATGCTTGAAAAGTTATAACTCTATTTCAAACATAATAGAGATTGATATTTTTTCTGACTCTTTAACTACCTTTGTGAACAAACTTAAGAAACACTTTGTACTATCGTCTAATTGATATGTTCAGTATTTTTTTCATATACATATAAAATATTTCTACTGTATTGTATTGAATTGCAACATGACATATTTAGTAGTATATATGTGAATACTGTTTCTGGGTTCGTCCCGTTTGTATTCCTGTTTGTGAAAAAAAAAAAAATGTCACTGCGTTTAAAGAATTTTCCTATCAGAGAGCCTAAAAGAAAAAGTCTCTAGCTTGTCCGTGACAATTTGTATTGAAAATGGTTTGGAAAAGAGAAATAAAGGTAGGTATACATGTAAAAAAAATATAGAATTTTCACTTACCTTTGGACGTTTCGGGAACGATTCTACTCCCGTTGAAATGCAAAATATTCCTCTTTGGAAGTTTTGCTGCATATAGTTTGACCATTGTCTGCTGAATATAGAGAAAAAATCTAGTGATCTGTAATATATATCTGGTCTGCTCAAACAAGGAAAATCACCTACAGGTTTCTGTGGCACATACAATAATGCCGCCATACGGTCAACTCGAGGAAACACTTATTGCAATTGTTTTCCTGTCAAACCTACATAACCTTGAAAATCTTGAACGAGTTGATAGCAGCTCCCTCAGCGGTGCTCTCGGCAGTCTCGGACGGCGGCGCAGTTTGTTCAGTGAGTTTGAGTTCAGTATCACGACGTAGTAACTCAGTAACTCAAAAATTCAAATAATCATTCCTTCTCAAAATGGTTGCTACATACACTACAATAGTCCTCAATTTCATAACGTTCAACACCTAAATTAAATGAGAGGTAGAATCAGTAGTATCGATTATTAGCTCTTGATCAGGGCTCTGATTTTCTTACTTGTAATGAGCCTGTAACACTCAATAACGAATATATTCACTTAGGTCGCAAAGAAATATCACTTGGTAATCCATCAATGGAGTCGGTTTCACACTTTCTGGTAGTCAGAATTGAGAGACAGAGTTTGTAAAAAATTATCAATCAGAATTGCACAACACAGAACCATATCTATAAACGAAAGGAATATTAGAACAATGAAAATTGAAGAAGACAGATTTTTTTAGAAAAAAAATACAATACAAATCACGATTGCACGACAGTTCTTGACACTGACAACTTACATTACCACACATTCCGAAAGTTTTCTAGAAAAAAGTGATTATTTCGTCCGATACGGTAACATCCTCTGGTAGTCATACACTCAACTGAGCTATAGAGCAGACCAGACGTTACAGCTCACTAGATTTTTTCTCCACATTTAGCAGATAATGGTTCGACACTTTTCAGTGTCATACTGATGTTGGCATATGAATGAGTGATTTTAGTCTACAAATGAGTTACAGGATGATTTCATTAATTGATCTTGAATCTACCATTTTCATGTCCAGTTTTCAGTAGTGAATGCCATGTTCTATCAATATCAACTGAACAGGAAGCAATGCTATTGTCTCCGTCAGAAGAATGAAATCGGATTCTTTGATTTTTCTTTTTTGGTTGTTATCTTACTTTCCTATGATTTTGATATTATTCCACTCTGCCATATATTACCCATCTTCAGTAAGGATATGTTCAGTCAGCTTCGATTTATCGATATGTCTTTTCTTGATATTGTACTTCTGTTCTTCAGTCCTTACTGAGAGAGGTCTTTTCGTTTCACCTTGTGTTTGTAGAAAGTATAATACAGAAATTTTTCTGATGGCCTAAGAAAGTGTTGGGGATCACACGTTAAAAGGTTCCAGATTCTCTGGACGAATTAATTTTAAAGTATCATCTGTATCGTCTCTATAGAAGTAATGATGTATCCAGAAGCATAAAAAGAAGCTGTACTGTTCGAAGCATTTTTAAATGGCGAAAAATGAATGGAGATTGGTACAACTCGTTCATAATTATGCGACTGAATGACCCTAATAAATATCTTTACTTTCGTGTAACGTGCATTCAATTTGATGAACTTCTATCAATGGTGGGACCAGAAATAAAGAAATTAATATCACAACAGAACCCTTATCTCCTGCATATTTTGTCGCATGAGTATGAAAGTCAAATTCTGTCGGAAATTTCATATTTTGCGATTCGCATAAATTTTGCGGAATTTGTACAAGCATGAACATACCTTATGTCTGGTCTGGGGCTACTCTTGACTTGACAAGAGGTCGTCGTGATGGTCGTTATAATGTAAGTTGTTATTAGGTCTTTATATCCATTGTTGCTTATTCATAATCGTCATTGCTACCCATAATGTTGCATGCTTCAATACATATTGTTATCTTTGAATATAGTCTCGTACTTTTCAGTTACCTCCTAAAGTATTAGTACCTATTCGAACATGTTACCTCTCGCAAACTATATTAAGCCAAGCATTACCTCTTATAAATCGATAATGGTGGAGAAACCATCTGATACACTTTTTAATTTTTTTTTTGTAAAAATTATTTTAGTACATTTGCTCCGAGCACCCGGTATTTCCATATTTACCTTTTCGTACGTAATAAGATACGCCCTCTTCCAATTTCGACGAAATAAATAGGAGTATGTGAACATTATGAGATTACCTAAGCCGCATAGGCATCAAACAATAACCAGTACTTTTCGAATTATCTTAAAAACAAATGATTCAATCGAAATTTTACAGGAAACAAAAAATACTCAAAAATTATTGAACACTTGAAGGAAAATAGATAGTAAGTCATTAGCGCACGTACAAACAAAATATGGGGGTAAGTGTGAACTTGACCCCCAGTATCTTGAATATTTGACAGTTATTCTCTGTTTTGTTTTCTCACACGATGTAACTCTTTGTGCTGAAGTAATGTACCAATTTTGAGATTAATATCTTATCAAATACGCGAGTAATTAGAAAAAAACAGTTTTTAATTTCCAACTTTGACACCCTGTATACCGAATATGAAGGGCTAAAATGAAAAATGATAATTAGAAACTCATATTGTTTTTGTTCAAGGAATATTTGGTTGATGGATTGACCTCCTTTTAGCGGACACCCTGTATATCATATACTTAAATGTTCACTGTCCTAATTTGAAACGACCTCCTTATTCCTAAGTTCATTCGTCAGTTTCGTGGTTTTGTGTGAGTTCCTGAGTTCATTACAGGTGAGCCTGACCTTCCTCTGTTGGATGCCAACAAGCGTACCCCCCAACTCAGGGGCTCAACTCCTAATGATCCTCCGCTGCCTCAGACCCCTGAGGATATTCACCCTCGTTCCTCACATGAGCAAAGTGGTCTATGAGCTATGCAGGGGCTTCAAGGAGATCCTGCTGGTATCCACTTTGCTGATCCTGCTCATGTTCATCTTCGCTAGCTATGGGGTGCAACTTTACGGGGGTCGGTTGGCCAGGTGCAACGACCCTAATATTACGAGGAGGCAGGACTGTGTGGGGGTGTTTATGAGGAGGGTGTTCGTTACCAAGATGAAGGTGCAACCTGGCGAGAACGAGACGTATCCTGCTATGTTGGTGCCTAGAGTCTGGTGGGTGGATATTCTCTGAGATTGATCTAGGAGTTGGAGTTTTTTGCGAGATTGAACTGACTGAGAGCATGATCAGCAAGGCTTGATTGCAGTTTCAGATTGGACTCTTCGCAAAATCATTCTGCCAATCATGTTGGAGCATTAGTGCGTCGGAGCTCGATTACTCGAGTTCTATGATAGCTAGAAACTTGATTCTGGAACGAATGTGAATGAGACAACAAAGTCCATAGCTAAAAATTATTGCCGTATGTACAGGGCGCACTGAAAAAAATCATTTTTGGAGCATCCCTGTGACCTCCATCCACTCCTATAATATCGTTGACTATATCTCTATCATGTCGAAGTAATGATTTTTTTGTCAAAATAATGTCATTTGCAGATGCATTCCGAAAAAATCCTTCAGAAATATCACGCATTTTTTCATCGAATGATATTGAGATTATTTTCTCTCAAATTTCATGATTGTGACCACATTGATTTTTTCGGTATGCATCTGCAGTTGACATTATTTCGACAAAAAAATCCATAACTTTGAAATGATCGAGATATAGTCAGCGATATTAGAGAGATGGATAGAGGTAGATCTTTTTGGTGTGCCCTGTATATGTGGCAATAATAGTTTATAGCTATCATAGAACTCGAGCAATCGAGCTCTAACGCACTAATGCCCCACCCTGTATATAATTTCATACAATCACTACATTCCTTCATCTATTGAACTTCAATAGTTTCATTCAGTTTGCAATCAATTGCAAGATCAAACTCACAGAGCATGCAAACTAATTGCAAAATCATTGTTATTCATGTTGCTAATTGACGCAACATGATATAACATCTCAATTGTAATATAAATATTGCTTTCAGAGCTTAATTGGTAGATAGATACAAGTAACAGTTTCATTGCCTCAATGAGAGAGTTCTAGCAGTTTCTTCAATTGCAAGATTGGTCCCTTTGCATGATTTGCAGAAACATGTTGCAACATTGGGCTAGATGCAAGGATATCACTATGACCAACCGCAAGATCAAAGCTATCAAGAATGAGTATATCTATCAGTTATGAGAATCTCATTGTAAGATTAAATCCGCAATGAGGCTTCAATTGCATGATTCATATCGCAATGAGGATCATTGGAAGGTTATAATCTCAATGCCAAGAGCCTATATATAATAATCAATTGGCAGATACATGTAAAATCTGACTGATGAATGCAACATCACCTTGCAGTATCTTTAGCAGCAAGATTGATCTTGGAATTGAATCATTTGCAAGATTAAACTGACTGACAGCATGATCAGCAAAGGCTTGACTTCAATTTCAGATTGGCTATAAAATTGGACTATATGCAAGATCATTATGTCAATCATGTTATATAATTGCAATGTGTACCCTAGCCCATTGCAAAACTTCTCAATCAAATAAGCTCTGATAGACTTATTTTGTTTGTTATGGAAACAATTGCGAGATTAAACTCACAGAGCTTGATCAGCAGATACTTAATTGCAATAAGCCTTTCTTTAGTTGCATGATTGGAATTGGACTATTTGCAAGATCGTTCTGTCAATCATGTTGAATAATTTCAATACTATCACTTGAGCTTCAATATCATGATTTAGTTTGCAATAAAACGAAATGCAAGATCAAATAACTCACTGAGAGCTATTGATTTTGTCACAGATGAATGTTGTAGTTAGCCGGAATGCAAGATTGAACTTGAAGTTTCTTTAGTTTCAAGATCGATTTCGAAAGCGAAATTGTTTTAAGATTTTTTTGGCATCTACAAGTAATTTGCAAAATACCTATAGTACTTGCAGGAAAATCATTTTCATTGGAATAAACTGAAATTAACTCATGCACTACTCTGTTGAGATTGAGATGTTAAATTATTGGATTCTCAAGTGATTAGGTTTCAATTTTAACTATGCGATGATGCCAGATTCACTTGACAATCCATTGTTTACAGGGCCAATCCTAGGAGATTCAATTTCGACAACATCGGTGATGCAATGTTAACCTTGTTCGAGGTTTTATCGTTCAAAGGCTGGTTGGATGTCAGAGACGTACTTATAAAAAATTTGGGGCCTGTACGATGAACAAGAACGTTCGAATTTATAATCATTGCTAAATTGATATTTATTTTAGGTCCACGCCATCTACATTCACATTTACATCTTTCTGGGTTGCATGATAGGTCTCACGTTGTTCGTGGGCGTGGTAATCGCTAATTATTCCGAGAACAAGGGCACAGCCCTTTTGACGGTCGACCAAAGGAGATGGTGAGATTTTTGGAAACCGAGTTCGCAGAATTATTTTCACAAACATTGAAAAACTGAAGCGTTGAAATATTTCAAGAAATACCACGAAAAAATTACCACCGAAAAGTTACCTCCCAAAAATTACCTCCCAAAAAGTTACCTGCCAAAATTTACCTCCTAAGAAGTTACCTCTCGAAATCACCACCCAAAAATTACAACCCAAATAAATTACCTCGCAAAATTTACTACCACCCAAAATAAATTGAAAACCTCGGAAAATATCACAACAATTTTGGCACAACTTGTTTCTTGATTTCATTCAACCAAAAATTATCTGGGCTTACCGGGACTTTGGTTTCAGCTCATGAAAATAGGGCCTATAGTTATAATTGTTCATTTTGGGCAGTACTTGAATGAGTTATCAACAGAAGGTAAGCTTGGTTCCACTGCCATGTTTCATCACAGTTATATATTTTGTCATTTGGGGGGTAATATTTTCTTTCTTTTTCGGGATAATTTTCTCGGTGTTCTTTTTCAGTGGTAAGTTTTTGCCTATTTACAGGTGCGATCTGAAGAAGAGACTGAAAATCGCGCAACCATTGCATCTACCTCCTAGACCGGATGGAAAAAAATTCAGAGCCTTCATATACGACATAACCCAAAATATCAAATTCAAAAGATGCGTGGCTTTCATGGTGTTGATAAATAGTGCACTTCTGAGTGTGACTGTAAGTTTTTGAGCATCATGTTGAATGTGTAACAGGGTGATTCATCAATATTTCCTTCGAAAAAATGCATCAACAAATATGTGTACGATTTTCTGTAATGTATTGTACTTACATAGAGGGTGTTTCAGATTTGAATGAAAAGTGTTATTCTTATTTTTAGGGTAGGTCAATGTGATATTTGAACTCGATTTGCAACGTGTCGGAATTCCGGAATGCTATCGTTTTTCACATCATTTGCGGGTTTTTTCGAGATAATGCAGACAGAAATTTAGCGATTTTCCGAATTTTTGAAGTAATTTTTGCAGGTATTATGAATTATGATCATGTAAATCTGCGACGAGCGGTGGCGTGCATACAATAAAAGCATGGAAGCATTGCTTACCCCAGGAAATTTCAAATTATTGATACACAGTTTTTCACACAATTTTCTTTTGCGGATGCATTTTTTGTTTATAAAAATAGATCTACTATACCGGGTGACACAGGAGACATGTAACCAGTGGCGTACCTACGGAGGGGGGATAAGTGGGATATATCCTTCCCCCATGGCCCATATGCCAATAGAAAAACATCAGTTATTAACTCATATAAAGTGAGAATAAGATGGGTTGAACTCTGTGGGGATCATTACATTCCACTTGGCCATAAATGATCAAAAATATTCTTATTCTTTCAGTTTCATTATTCAAATAATTGGATACTGATTTGTGTAGCCAAATTAGTCAATTATGAATATGCCACAGAAATAAGTCAACATTTCTGCGAATATAGTGTAAGCATGTTTTTTCAATGTAGGTCGAATGTTCGTTAATCGTTCATTCTAGCACAGATTAACAAGTACGTTTGATAACAAGTAAGAGGTGCAGTTGTTTGAGTGTTCAATGTTTACCAGTTACCTACCTTTAGTGTATAATTAGATAATGATGAAACAAAGTGATTCATCTAGATTATTCAAAAGAAAATTCAACGATGATGATGATGATAGGGTGTCTTCTTCATCAGCAACTGGAACTGATGGAGCTTATTTGCCGTTACAGTTGGAGTTGAATTAAAATTCCGCTTCTATTTCTCCAAATAAACATTTTGAATCTCTGGAACAAATCCATCCAGGAGATATTGGAAATTGTTTACACGGTGCAGTTCCCGATAAAATAAGAACAATCCAAACCCTTTGGACTCCGCCACCATCATATAATTTTCCCCTATTGGGTAAATTCAAAGATAAAAAGGTCAAACTTTAGATTTTTTCATCAACCAGCTGGAAGAGAGATTTACAAATCATGAAGACATTCTGAGCGGATTTATGAACTTATTATCTCCAACATCAGTAGGAACTGCAGGCCAAGCAACTGATTCAGGAAATCAGTATGATAAACTACTGGATATATATCTAACTGATATTCCTAAAATTATCATCAAAGCCGAGATCAAAATGTGGCACGAACATTTGAATAATGTTTGGAAATCAGAAACAAACGTCAGGCACTGGCCTATTTGGAGATTTGTAGTCAATATGCCTACACAAATGTGCATAAACTTCTAAAAATATTCTGTTCATTGCCAGTGTTCACTGCGACATCAGAAAGAACCTTCTCTACTCTGAAACGCATAGAAAACCTATTTGAGGAACACTACCGCCCAAGTGGAGCTTAATGGACTTGCCATGCTATCGATTCATAGAGAGGTAGTCGTATATATTGAAGAAATTATTGAAGAAATTGCTCTCAAACCAAGGCGCTTAGATTTAATTTTGTGATGTTCAAAATTATTGTAGTTACCATCAATAATCTTGAATAAAAATATGTTTTGAAAAAAAATTATATCCCCCCCCCCAAGGTACACTTCTGGGTACGCCACTGCATGTAACAGCATGTAGCTTCTTTATTTGAAGAGATGAAAATTTGAAATTCACAAGGATTATATAATCGATGATGGCGCTTATTCCCTTGAACTCAATGACAATTCTCTTCAACCACCTGTTTGATTGGAAGTAGGCCCAACTCTTTTTCTTCAAATGGCACTTTGTATATTTCTGTAGCCTATCTTATTCGCCCTAAAATTCTCTATTCAACTATGTATCACAATTTGATATTCGTTTATTAATTAGCTGTGGCTGTGGCCCGAATACAATGACATTTCGATGCTTGATAGGCTTATAAATCCAAAGATCATCACTCAGACGATATTATCAGAATATTTTCCATGCCCTAATCGGTCCCAATCATTTCATTGAGTTTAAAAAAATCATTCGAAAATAACCCACGATATTGACAAAACTAAGATAGAAACTCAGTTTTTTTCATTTGGCTACTTCTAATCTATTTGTCTTTCATTTTTGCCATGTAGCTATGATATGATGATCTATTTGGATACATGAAACTGAAATTGTTGTAATGATTGATGTATCGTCCTAATACATCTGTTCATTAGTCTACATTTTATCAGTGTATTTTCAGTATCATTTCGCTTTGAAGGCGGTTTACCCCGACAAAAAATGTTGAGTGCGCCACTGGATTCTGCGTAAAATTTTCTATGGGATGAGATTTCAGTTTGACATTCGCTGAGAAACTTCGTAGATATAGATAGGTGGTCCAAAAAGTATAAATTTTAATAATCGCCCTGTTTCTCATAAACGCAAACAATTATGCAAAATCTGATTAGGTCATCTTGAGTTTCACAAAAAAGTGGCACAGGACCGCAAAAACCGCATGGTTCTATCTCGAAAGATAACTGAGATATCACGCAAAAGCATCGAAAACTAAACACACTGTACACTTGAATCTGGAACACCCTCTATATTTTCAAGGATCAGAATAAGGTTAGCTTCAATAACAATCGAGGTATTATTTTAACTCTTTATGATTCTCTTATTCAAAGATTGAAGGAAGGGCAACATGATTTTTCCAATTTGACAAAATAAATCGATTTTTTACAGTGGAACAAAGAAGATGCTCACACCGATATTTTGGCCACTGTCGGCATGATTTGCACCCTTCTTTTCGTGGTAGAAGTGGTGATGAAAAATATAGCTTTCACCCCTAGGGGTTATTTGCAATCGAGAAGGAATCGGTACGATTTGTTCGTTACCGTCATGGGAGTAATTTGGATGTTTTTCCACTGTATGTTCAAGGTACTATAGAAGTATTGCTTTTTACGAGGGGTAAACCGCGGTCAAAATTGTGTACACCAAACTTCAATTTCACAAGGAATTCCAAGGAAATCCGAGGAATTACAAGGAATTCCAGTTGTTTGTAGACTCAAAGGAATTCCAGGGAATTACAATAAAATCCAAGGAAATCCAAGGAATTTCAAGGAAATCCAAGGAAATCCAAGGAAATCCAAGGAAATCCATGGAAATCCAAGGAATTCCAATGGATTCCAAGGATTTATAAGGAAATCCAAGGAATTCCAAGAAATTTCAGTTGTTTGTAGCCCAGAAATATACCGCATTTCACCCAAGGAATTTCAGAGAATTCCAAGGAAATCCAAGGAAGTCCAAGGAAATCCAAGAAATTCCAAGGAAATCCAAGGAATTTCAAGGCAATCCAAGGAATTCCAAGAGAATCCTGAGAATTCCAAGGGAACCCAGGAAGTTCCAAGGGAATCCAGGGAATTCCAAGGTATTCCAGTTGTTTGTACACCAGAATTCCCCGGGGTTTAACCCTCGACTTTTTACTTCACTCAAAGTATTCTAAGGAAATCCAAAGAATTCCAAGAAAATCCAAGGAAATCCAAGGAATTCCAATGGATTCCAAGGATTTATAAGGAAATCCAAGGAATTCCAAGAAATTTCAGTTGTTTGTAGCCCAGAAATATACCGCATTTCACCCAAGGAATTTCAGAGAATTCCAAGGAAATCCAAGGAAGTCCAAGGAAATCCAAGAAATTCCAAGGAAATCCAAGGAATTTCAAGGCAATCCAAGGAATTCCAAGAGAATCCTGGGAATTCCAAGGGAACCCAGGAAGTTCCAAGGGAATCCAGGGAATTCCAAGGAATTCCAGTTGTTTGTACACCAGAATTCCCCTGCCGTTTACCCCTCGGCTTTTTACAAGCTTTTATTTAGTGTGTGTAATCAAATCATGCAAGTTAAATATGGCACATTTCTAATTGTTGCGATCGATTTGAAATTTGGCAGTTATTCATAATTCTGGTGATAAGGCACCATGAAATTTTTTATAGACGAAAAACAGAATGGCGATTCCAAAATGTCAGATGAATTTTCTGATTTTATATGTACAGTGTGACCCACTTCTAATATGGAAACGCCCCTGTATCTTACGTAATCGTTGGGAAAGGATCCTGAAATTTGCTGGAGCGACAGATATACCAAAAATGCACTCTATGACCAAGGTGGGGTCATGTTCAGTGATATACACTGCTCGCCAACAGCCATGGAATTACCCCAATTTCCGGAAAATGATATTAGGAGTCAAAATAGGTTGAAAATAACGGATTCGGAATCAGGACGCCCAACTCACTAACTATTCATAGTTTTCCTAGAAAATTTTCAGTTCAGAAAAATTAAATTTCATCTCACTTCTCATGGAAGCACCCCCATATCTCACGTAATTATTGAGGTGGGGTTCTGAAATTTGCAGGAGGAAGGGAAAGTCCAAAGATAAAGTCAATTACGTAAGAAACAGGGGTGCTTTCGTAAAAAGTGCGATAAAATTTGATTTTTCAGAACAGAAAATTCTCCAGGAAAAATATGAATATTTAGTGAATTAGGCGTCCTGATTCTGAATCTGGAGTGATTTTTGACCTATTTTGACTCCTAATATCTTTTTCCGGAAATTGGGGTGGTTCCATGGTTGTTGGCGAGCAGTGTATATCACTGAAGATGACCCCACTTGGTCAAAGAGTACATTTTCAGTATATCTCTCGCTCCAGCAAATTTCAGGATCCTTACCCAACGATTACGTGTAAGATACAGAGGGGTGTTTCCAGCATTAGAAGTGGGTCACACTGTATAATTCGATTCTATTCAGAATGAGTATCTGGGGGGTTTTGGGGTCGATACTCGGCAATTATGATTCTTCTGTCAAGGTCGGAGAATTCAAGATGGCGGCTCCAATATGGCGGACGAGTTTTGTTATTATGATCCGATTCTTTTCAAAATTTGTATCTGAGAGTTTTCGGGGTCGGAGATTATGATTCTTTTGTTAAATATGCCGAACGAGTTTTGTGAATGGTGCGATTTTTTTCGAAATTGGTATGTGGGGGCTGTTGTTATTGTCGGATATTCATACAATTACAAACTTTTATCCAGTTTCACCTGTACCGGTGTGTGACTAACTAGCTTTTGTCCATTTATACAGTGTGTCCCACTTACCATGCTCACCATGGGTATCTTTTTAACGGTGAGAGATACGAGGTCGGTTGAATTACATCAAATGTGGAGTTTGTCAAGGCCAACTATAATGTGAAAAAATATTTTGATAAAATCTCTTCGTTTTTGTTTTATACGCAAAAAACAGATTTTGATCATTCAAAGTGATTTCGAAAAAAATATGAAATTTATACCGACTCATCTAGAATTTGAGATATCAGCACCAACTTCTGTTTTTCAAATGTAGGTCATAGCTCACTATGACTTAGTTACAAATATATTTTTTTTACAGATGATGTCGCAGTAATAGTTTCGTGTTGATAACAACGGAGTTGTCGTCATTTATACAAAAACAAAAAAATATTTGGATGCCGCCATCTTGAATTTATAAATTTTAACAAAAAAATCATGATTTCCGACCTCAAAAACCCCTACTTACCAATTTTGAATGGAATTGGACCAAATCTTGTCCGCCATCTTGAAGCAGCCATTTTTTTTCAACAAAAATTCCATAACTCCGATTAACTTGAAATTTGGCAGGTGTTCATAATTTCGGTGACAATACATTATGGAATTTTTGTTGAAATTAAAAAAAAATGGCTGATCCAAGATGGCGGACAAGATTTGGTCCGATTCCATTCAAAATTGGTAAGTGGGGGTTTTTGCGGTCGGAGATCATGATATTCTTGTTAAAATTTTTAAATTCAAGATGGCGGCTTCCAAATAATTTTTTGTTTTTGTATAAATGACGATAACTCCGTTGTTATCAACACAAAACTATAACTGCGACACATCATCTGTAAGAGAAAAAAAAGTTATTTGTAAATAAGTCATAGTGAGCTATGAGCTACATTTGAAAAACTAAAGTTGGTGCTGCTATCTCAAATTCTAGAAGAGTTGGTATAAATTTCATATTTTTTTCGAAATCACTTTGAAAAACTGCCATGAGAATGTGAAATTCCTATTTGAATATTTTTATAAATAAAGAAGTTACGGAGGAGAAATGAAAATGATCAAAATCTGTTTTTTGCGTATAAAACAAAAACGAATAGTTTTTTTCAAAATATTTTTTCACATTATAGTTGGCCTTGACAAACTCCACATTTGGTGTCATGTCATTTAACCGACTTCGTATCTCTCACCGTTAAAAAGATACCCATGGTGAGCATGGTAAGTGGGACACACTGTATAGACAATATGGCGTGTGTGTCTGGGCAGTGCATTTGTTATAAGAGCTTCTATCTAAAAAGATTTTTTAAGCAAACTTGTTTATAGGAATTTTTCAGTGTGATTTTTTTTTTCAGAATGATCTCACCTACTTTGTTGGTTTCATGGTGGTGATACTGAGATTTTTTACCATAACTGGGAAACATGCCACTTTGAAAATGTTGATGCTAACAGTTGGAGTGTCGGTTTGCAAGAGTTTTTTCATCATATTCGGGATGTTTCTGTTGGTTTTCTTCTATGCCCTAGCTGGGACCATTATTTTCGGAACTGTCAAGTATGGAGAAGGAATTGGCAGGTACGAAAATTACAGGGTGTTATATATATTTATAGATATACATCAGTAAAAGTTGAATTTCACCGGGTGTGTATAATTTGCGGACTGGAATAAAATGCCGCGGACGGGCTATTACCAGCAAACAAATCGTTGTTTTTATTGCATATCGGAATTCTGCACGATAATAATTATACAATTTCTTACACTGGCTTCATTGAAGAACACTTCATTCCTGTGTTTTTTCATAAAATCTTTCGAGCTGCGGGTATTTTTGCAAGTCAAATCATCTTAATTTTTACAGAAATAGATGAAATGATCTCATGAAAATACACAATGCAAATATCGAAAAACTCATTCGATGTTTTGTCTAAAATCTTTCTGGATCTGGTAAATATTTCATATCTCATTTTGTCCAGCAATCCAAAATAACCAATTGCAGCATACGCAATCACATAAAGTTGTTTTGGTATTCGTAATTTTCTTCAATCACTCTTTTTTTTGAGAACAGTATTTTATGAATATGAAACAATTTTCCAACGTGTTAGTGAAATTTCGATTCAAACATTGCAAATGGAAGTATATGTCAATTATAATAGAGGGTGATCTAATTATTTTCCAGAATATCAAATCAAATCAAATCAAAAAATACTTTATTGTCTGAAGAAAATAATTCTTATTGACAAAGTCATCATGAAGAATAAAACCTAAGAAGTATAGTACTTAAAGGATAAAATCTCGGGTAAAACCTAATATGACAACAATTCCATATTCACATAATAATGAATAAATGAACTGATCGATAGATCTTAGAGAAATATCAAGGACTTACTAGTTTTTATTCCCCAAGACACTCTGAAAAAACTATACAGGGTTATATAAACCACCATCCGAAGTACAGATAGTTTTGGTAAGATATTGTATCTTTAATAATAACAATATGGTTGATGCGAACACTTGATGTATTGGATATCCCTGGATAGCCTGACACATTTCAACGCCCTGTAGCTCCTCATTTAACCCTATTTGGGGGTATGAAAAATACGTTGAGCGAAATATTTTTTGAAATTGGTGATCAAAAAGGAAAATAAAAGGGTGATGCTCCACATGGTGGAACACTCTGTACGTCATCAATATCTCAAAGAAATACATATAGATATCACAATCATCAGATCTAGGAGCAGTTGCCCCAATTGTCAGTAAGAGCGAAACAGTGCTCTTTCGGGCTACCAGGCCTCATCAGTTGCTCTCTGTCTGCTGACAATGGGGAAGTTTCCATCAGATAAATTTCCATGAAATAAGCTCGGAACTCTCCAATTCCATGTCCACGCTGTACAGAATGGCGACCGATAAAGTCCAAGTCGTTTTCATTTTCAAATTATAGCAATTCCTAATTTTCGGGACGACAAACTGTGACGTACATTCTGATTCTAGTCTGAAAATAGCTGATGGTGAAGAATATAGCTAGCGAATAGCAAACGAATAGCTAACGGATGAAAAAACTAGAAGAAGAAGTAAAACTAGTTAACAAATACATACATAACCACAATTGTACTCGGAGTAGGAATGCAGAAGAGTAGTTGGCTTCATTCTGACAGGTTATGATTATATGTTATTTATGCATTGAAATATCTCCAATAGACCTCGATCTTAAACGAAAATATCATTGAATCAATGAATCACTATCGGCTACATTCAATGATACTATCCTTCCTAATTTACTGCCATCGGTCAGAACAGAATGAAGCCGACACCCATGACTCCTTCCTCTTGTTGTGCCTGTCAGCATTCTGAGGGGTGTGGACGGACTCGAAGTATTAGGCGCTGTTGCAAGATATAATCTGCAGCTTTCCTAGAAAATAGATCCGTTTCATTAAGGAACGAATTCATTAGCAAAAAAATGACTGACAAGTTATGAATAACATATTGTAATATGATGACAGTGAAAAATTATAGATACTATTGGAATTTATGGGAATTATTCATAATACTTGACAAAATAGGATTGAAGAACCTATTATATCCCATATTGCTGTTATGATATAGTTATTATGCATTCAAAGAAATATTTCCGGAAATCTAGACATATTTCAAAAATGAAATTCGAAAAAAATACTCGAAGAACAAAAAGAAACATAACCATATTAAAATAAAATTTATAATAGAATATATCTATTTATATATATATATAAATGTTTTCTATCTTTATTTCGAGTTCGTCATGAGTAGAAGGTCCTTCCTTATATATTCATCTATTTGTCCTCAATTATATCCTGATTTTGCCTCTTTATTTCTCATATACATATTCACTGTCCATTTTCGTGGTAGGTATATGTATAATTTAAGTAGATAGGGTGTAGGCTTATAAAATTGTCAGGCACCTAATTGTTCCTTATCATTATTCCAATTAATATGTAAATTTAGTTAAATTTAGTTATCTCAGTATTATCTATAGGCATCACTTGATTTATTTTTGGTAGATACAAATATTTATATAATTATTATTTCTAATGGGGGACTGGAAGATCAGCCTAGCTGAAGTCCACTCATATTTGCCCAATTGATGTTAATTGAATTTCAACATGTATTTTTTTTAACATGTAATTTTTTTTATGTCTCATCTGGGTGAATAAATACAAATACAAATACATACTGGCACAGAGAATCGCATTTTAAGTCTGTGGAATGTGGATTCTCAGAAAGTAAGTCATTGGAATGGTGGAGGAGCCAAGTTCCCATTTTCTTTATTTTTTTCTGAAGTGGGATTTGATCTTACGAATAAAAAAAATACCTTTATATTGATTATTTACGAACTTCACTCTGAGACAAACACCTCAATATAGGAACTTCTCCCCAAAAAAAAAACTAATTACCCTGTAGATAATTGACAGGTCGTTATTTCAGGCGAGCTAATTTTGAGTCTCCTGTCACCGGAGTGGCCATGTTGTTCCGGATCGTGACCGGAGAAGACTGGAACAAAATAATGCACGACTGCATGATCCAGCCGCCATATTGCACTCCGGCAGCCAACTATTGGCAAACCGATTGCGGCAATTTCTATGGGTCTTTGATATATTTCTGCACCTTCTACGTCATCATCACTTATATCGTTCTCAACTTATTAGTTGGTAAGTTCTGAATTCAATGTCTTTCAGGAAAGAAATTGTCTAGACGTTGAAGTTGAAAAGGTCTTGGTGACATCAAAGTTATTTGTCGTGGTGAAGATTTGGCAACGCTAATTCTCGGTAGTCTCATATATTATTATTATTTTCAACTAGCTATCCATATCAAGAAGACTAATAAAAGTACCAGCAAGAAATATCAGAAAAAATTACCCCAAACAAATTATTTCTGAAATTATCACTCGAAATTTACCACCCAAAAGTGATCACCCTAATTCACCACAAAATTTAATCGTGTGGGTAAATATCACAAAATAATATTGCCCTGGAAAATATACATCAATAGTTATTTATGTATTAAGGGAATTATGAGGGCCTTAATTACCGAATGGCAAAGTTTGCGTCCCGAGGGCCTCTGGCCCGAGAGACAGCAATTGCCAGAGGTTATTAAGGCTCTATAATTCCCGTGATACATAGATAATTTTATTTCTGACTGATTTCATTCATTAGATACCTTCCCGATTGGAAGTTAGACATGTTTTTCCGTATAGTTTCAATGTCATCAGAACGTCAGATGATGATCTTGACTACCGCGAATAGGAGATTCCTTATTGCTACGTTACTGCGTGGTTGTTGCTATGCATTTCTTATTTAATTTTATTTAGAGGGAATTATAGCATCTATAACATCCCAAGGGAGTTATGACCCTCATAATAGATATCGTAACTATGACGATATAAGCTTATAATGTCACTGTCAGAAATAAAATTCTTAACACACAGCTCCTTTCTTGATTTCATCCAACCAGAACTGGTCCAAGATAAGGTTGCACAGCATGGGGATCTCGGAAACGGTAGGAGATACGAAGTCGGTTAAATGGGGAAAAAGTTGCGCATTTGGAGGCTCATACCAACAGCCTTCGAAAATTTTCAAAAATTTCTTCTGTTTTTCAGTTATATCGAAAAAAGTGGATTTTCGGAATCTCTATTTTATTCTTTTTCTCCGTTATTATTAGAGATACAGGAAAACTGAAAATACTTTTTCATAGCAACTTTTGATGACGTTTAACGTGGTGACACCGATTTTTCTATGCGACGTTTCGTATTCGTAGAACCATTATCAACTTTTGCTTTTATATACGGCCCTGATAATTCTTTCACAGATTCTGATAGCTATTTTTATTTTGAATTCAACCATGTATTATACAAGGTGGTTTGAATGTGTTTCGAACTATTTTTAGCCATCATCAATGTTTTTTTCGAAATTCCAAATGAAAAATGCCATTAGTTCCACTTATTTTGAAGGAAAATTAGCCAACAAACTAATACCTCATCAACTAGTTCCGATTGATAGACTTATAGGAATAATTAGTTCGAAAAATTTAATTATGACAAGCTCCTTCGGATTAAAATATGTATACAATTCATAAACAATTCGAAGCGCTGCATTGAATAATTTAGTGGATTTTTTTTCACTTTCCAGTATTGAATAACTAGTCCATCAATGTTTGACACTGAATAATCAGAAATAAGTGAAACTGATGGCATTTTTCCTTTGGAATTTCGAAAAAAACATTGATGCATGGCTAAAAATAGTTCGAAACACATTCAAAGCACCTTGTATAATACATGGTTGAATTCAGAATAAAAAAAGCTTCCAGAATCTCTGAAAGAATTTTCAGGACCGTATTTGAAAAACAAAAGTTGGTGATGGTTCTACGAATACGAAACATCTAATAGAAAAATCGGTATCACCACGTTGATCGTTATCAAAAGTTGCTGTGAAAAAGTATTTTCAGTTTTTCTGTATCTCTAATTATAACGGAGAAAAAAAATAAAATAGATATTCCAAATTTTCCCTTCTTTCGATATAACTGGAAAATTTAGAACAATTTTGAAAATTTTCGAAGGCTGTTGGTATGAGCCTCCGAATGCGCAACTTTTTCTCCATTTAACCGACTTCGTATCTCCTACCGTTTCCGAGATCCCCATGCTGTGCAACCTTATCTTGGACAGACTGTATATAGCTAATATTAAAGGCATTTTAGTAGTTCGTTTTGAGTTTTCAATGTTCATTTTGTGCGAAACTCAAAGTATTTATCAAATATAGTTGGTGACCCCTCATTGCATGGAAAGCTGGTTGAAAGAGGAACAATTAATGAAGGGCAAAATGCCCATGGCCCAAAGGGCTTTATGGAGGGTACCAACACTTATTCATCCAAGTAATTAGAGTTTCAATTGAATGAATAATGTAAATTCAATTGTATAATATATTATTGTTGCCTCCTTTTTTCACTTCCACAAATTGTCTTCAAAAATATGCTTCTACTGATGATGGACTATTGATAGTCCGAAACATGTTTAGACACTGATAATTCAGATAATAAATTTGTGGAGATGACTTTGAGATACCATGGACTTTTACCATAGATCTTTTTTTATGTTCATAATTATATTTTGAGAATATTCCTTTTCAATAATAATCTCAATTCCGCAGCTATCATCATGGAGAACTTTTCATTATTTTACTCGAACGAAGAAGACGCTCTTTTGTCATACGCGGACATCAGAAATTTCCAAAATACTTGGAATGTGGTCGACATCCACCAGAGAGGGGTGATCCCAGTACGCAGGGTAAATAATCGTACATTCGAATGGTGAATCAGTTTTCAGTTTTGACTGTTTCAAGGTCAAGTTCATCCTGAGATTGCTCAAAGGTCGCTTGGAAGTGGACCCGCAGAAAGATCGTTTGCTGTTCAAGCACATGTGCTATGAATTGGAAAGGCTGCACAACGGTGAAGATGTCACTTTTCACGATGTTATCAAGTAAGGACGTACCGTAATTCTGGGTGAATTCGAATAAGGCTTTAAAAATTATCGTGTGGGACCTGGAAAATAGTAATTTTCCTAACATATGCGGAAAATAATTCTTTCCAGCACATGAATGCCATAGACCGGTGAACGACGCGAAACGGAGTTCGGGCAAGCAGACACTTTTTGCCTGAGTTAGGAAGAATATTTTTTCTACAAGCGTAGGAAATTGATTAATTTGTTGTATAATTGTAATATGTTCTCTATCTTCTAATAATAATTAGTGATATATCTATTGTGTGTACCGTTTGAGGCATTATGTAGGTAAGTATATTGCGGAAGCCAGCATGCCCATATGGTGTTTGGCCTCTTGGTTTCAGACATTTCTAGGAAATGAGCCAAAAATACTTCTTCTTTATTTGATGTTTTAATTTTTTTACTATTGCACCATTCAATAAGTCCCGTGTAGTGCTTCTCATACCCTTTCTTGAGACTTCGTTGACTATAACTCATCTGTATCGCATCTGTAGCGGAAAGTTTTTCATCGCAATTCCACTGTATCGGAAATGACAGTAACGCTTTGTCTGTCACATTGCTCTGAGAATTACCTTAATAACTAATTTGTATTTTGATTGACATGACAACAATTGTTTCCCACATCAGATCAATTAAAGGCTATAGGGGGATTTATATAAGAATCAATTTTTCAATATTTCTTCATTTTCACAATAAATAGTGCAATTTGATGGATGATTTTGTACAAACTTACTGAATACTGCAACAAAAAAAAACTAAAATTTTCATATTGTGTCACCCACCACTCATATTTTGCGAGAATATTATATAAATGTTTTCCCGAACAAAAAAACTTTTCCCGCAGTTGAATTGCGTCCGGGTATAGGGAGAATCACGCAGTCTTGTAGAAAAAATAATTTAGAATCTCCAAACTTCCTTCTAACTGTGAGAAGAACGTTATTATTGTACTATATTCATTTTTTTTAATTCTGAAAGTTGTTCGAATCGACTCCACACATAGGGGCTTATTTACATAAAGATTCAATTTTGTTTCTTGGCCAGATACGAGCCAATGAGCCCAAAAGTTTCTAAATACCTAACACTCAATAAAACTATAATCATAATTCGAAAAATATTGTATTCGTTAAAATATGTATACAGGGTGTTCCGGTGATCGTGTTACAAACTTCTAGGGTAGATAAAACACACGAAAATAAGAAAAAAAGTTCATGTGAACATGGGTCCGGAAACGCTTCTTCAGGGAGCTAGGGCCCTTCGAAGATGACCTTCAAAAACTACTTTTCGTTTTATAGCTTCGGTACTACTGCAGCTATCGCAACCAATTTTGGGACATGAAATCTTGTTCGTAGGTTCATCAATTTGAGCCTTCCGGATTTTGTCACCTTTAACCAGGGGCGTACAAACCAGGGGGGTATTTGGGTAAATTTGACCCTACTACTCTTGGACTTTAATTTCTTACCATTTTTATATCTGATTATGATTTTCCAATGCCTTTTACATAAAAAAGGTACTCTTGTAAAAATCGCTATCTGTCACCGTTTCCTCCGAAAATGGCTAAATCCAATCAATAATAAATTATTGGTCTTAAACCAATTATTACGTTGAAATATGAAAATGAGGTTCAGTATCGATAGTGAGCATTATTAGTTAGTCAAATCAAATTGATGAACCTACGAACTAGATTTCATGTCCCAAAATTGGTTGCGATAGCTGCAGTAGTACCGAAGCTATAAAACGAAAAGTAGTTTTTGAAGGTCATCTTCGAAGGGCCCTAGCTCCCTGAAGAAGCGTTTCCGGACCCATATTCTTATTTTCGTGTGTTTTATATCTACCCTAGAAGTTTTTAACATGATCACCGGAACGAATAAAATATCACTCTAGCGATGAGAAAAAAAACTACAAGGGATTTTCTCTCCTCGTTTTTATAAAATAAAAATATGGATCTTATCTCAATAATGAATATATTAAGGGCAGATCAGATGAATTGCCCCAAAAGTTCACTGCGTTATTTTCAATCAGAGAACCTAAAATAAAAATGCAATCGTTTGTCAGTGACACTTTGTTTTGAAAAATGTTTGAAGAAGAGAAATATAGATAGATCGAAACAATATTAAATTTTCATTTATCTATGATCTGTTTTAGTATGTTGTCATATCGATCTGTAGACATCAGGAAAGCTCTTCAATTGGAGGAGTTGTTGGCCAGAGAAGAATTCGAATATATAATTGAAGAAGAAGTGGCAAAGCAAACCATAAGAACGTGGCTAGAAGGTTGTCTCAAGAAGATAAGATCAACAAATGTGAGAAAAAACCTCATTATTTGAGCATATCAAATCAGATTTATTCAAATTAACGTAACAGAGGTGACAAAGAAATCATTGGCCATGGCCATGTTAGACTTTTGACATTTGGATCAAAGATATAATTCTTTGAAATTCAAATTTTCCATGAAAATTTGATAATATCACTTCTGGTTTTACCGGAAATAGACCTAGGTCGATTATTTTTTATAGAACCCTGTAGATATTTTCACGTCATTATATAGAGCAAAAAATTTCCATTTCAATGACATATCACAAGTGGCCATATGTTCTTAAAATGAGGTCGCTAGACTCATTTTTCGTTAAACAATATGGCGACACTGTGACGTCGATTGAATGTTCTTCAAGCAACCTAATGAAATAGCAAATAAACGAAACACTTTGATTGTTAATGCAGATTTCTACATCTCGCATCATAAACTAAGTCCTTGCGTGCTCGCAATTTCATTAAATTGTTTGACTAAAATTAGAACGATGACGTTGCAGTGTCGCCATATTGATTTTAGAAAAAATGTATTTTGCGCTGTCATTTCAAAAACAAATGTCCACTTGTGATATGTCATTGAAGAGGAAATTTTCCTCTCTATCGAATGGCCTGAAAATATCTGCAGGGTTCTCTTGAAAATTATCGACCTAGATCTATTTCTGGTGAAACCAACTGTTTCTCCGTGGAAAATATGTGTTTCAAGACTTTCAAGCTACTATATTCGATCCAAATTTCAGAAGTCCAACATAAAAAACAACTGACGCTGTAGCCAATGATTTCGTCTGTCACTCAGTAGGTATACAGGGTGTCTGGAAAGGTCATGTCGTGAATGATAGGGCTAATAGAGTGAGCCAAAATAATGTCAATACTTCATTTGGAAAAAAATTTCTATCGCACTGCGTTGCGAAGTTATTGACTTTGAAATTTCAAAAAAAAAATATATTTCATCTATACCATTCGAACGGTTGTCATGGTATCAATGATATTCAGACAATCAAATAAACTATACTATAATGCTCTCTTCGATATGTAAACGGGTGTTCAGAGATTATGTTTTATACAGTATACAGGATGATACTTTATTTCAATCGATATATTGTACCGTTCTAGAGAATATCGCATTTTGAAAACATACATCCCAACCCGTTTCGAAGGTAATAAAAACTTTATTTATTCAGTAACATTGTGTGTCATGGTCATAATTGACATCAAATTATTTTGACAGTATTCATCACTTTGGTAACACCATGGATGAGTTTAATAATTATGAGTATATATGCAGATATATGCCCCTTATTCCAGCAAACACGGTTACATCGCAGAGATATCACAGCGATGTAACAATTTTGACCTGCGATATCGTATTCTATGTCGCATAGACGTCGCTGCATTGTCAGACGGATGTATTTTGTCCCAACACGAGTTTCATCCATGTGACGCCGCTCTGTGATGAGTTTTATGTGATATAGCGTCTTCGCGGATGATAGGGCAAATCAGAAACAAACGAGGGAGAGATGTTGACAACATGAATATGGACTTGTCAACAATTCTCGAATGGGAATCCAATAACTTGGTAGATTTCAATGCAAACAAAACGCATGCCTTTTCTCTAGAAAAGCCGATCTCATTGTGCCCAACATGAGCTTGTCAGGAGTAACCATACCTTTGAAGACATCCATTTCGATGCTTGGTATTTCTATCAGCAATAACCTTTCTTGGGAGAATCACGTGAGATCAATTGCTAAAAGTGCATCCCAAAAACTTGGTTTTCTGTTTCGGGCCAGGAGCTCTTTAACTTCCAGTCAGCTGCTTATGATCTATAAGGCACAGATCCGAGCTGCCCTGGAATACTGTTCCCATATTTGGAGTGCAGCACCCAAACATACCCTGAAACTGTTTGATTCTGTCCAAAAAAGGGCAATTCGTCTCGTGGGTGATGCCTCGCTCACAAACTCACTCACTTCTCTGGAACACCGTAGAAAAGTTGGCGATCTGCCTCTATTTTATAGATATTTTCATGGACGATGCTCTTCTGAAATATCAACAATAATTGTTCCTCCCTTGGCAGTCCCCGCGAGATTAACCCGTCGAGTTGAGGCTTCGCACCCCTTTGTGGTCACTTTGGAGACCTGCAGAACATCTCTTTCCAAAGACTCGTTCATCCAACGAACAGCGAAGCTCTGGAACACATTGCCAAGGGAGGTGTTCCCCGAGGCATATAACCTTCAGAAATTTTATAAGAGCACCAATTCCTAACTTATTTTTCTTGGTTCTCACGATGTTCTCTGAACATTACAGGATATCCCTTTTCGTGGGAACCAGAACAAATTATTTATTTGCAAATGAACCGTGAGACTTATCAAGAATAACCACGATTCAAAAAATATTTGTGTAGGGAATATCTTCCTGAAAAAAAAAACTAATTTGTACGGCAACATGATTGTTTGAAACACTAGCAGGTCACTGATGATGATCAAAAACATCTCAAAACGTGACTTACAGTCACAGAACATGCCATGCCAAAAATTATGGAAATCGATCTCAGCCTACTCTTTTTATGAGCAAAATTAGTTTTTTACAAAAAAACGCCAACGCCTTGTACCAACTCTACGAGGCGATTTTGGATATAGGCACTAGTGTATATAATCAAGGATATAGGTAAGTTGGCCTAAATCAACTTGTTTTTATCCCCCAGGAGTCCACAGCCGAGCCATCTATCACGACCTTTCACAGACACCCTGTATATACCGGGTGACACAGGAGACATGTAACAGCCTGTAGTTTTTTATTTGGAGAGATAAAAATTTGAAATCCACAAGGGTTATATAATCGATGATGGCACTTTCCTCGAACCCAATGACAATTTTTTTCAACCACCTGTTTGATTGGAAGTAGACCCAACTTTTTTTTTCCAAATGCCACCCTGTATATTTCTGTTGTTTATCTTATGCGCCTTAAAATTCTCTGTTCAACTATGTATCACAATTCGATATTCATTCATTAATTGGCTGTTAAATTGCATTTTATTGAAATACATGAAGTTGGCTGTGGCCTGTGGCCCTAATACAAAGACATTTTGATGCTTGATATAGGTTCAGGAATCCAAAGATCATCACTTAGACGATATCATCAGACCATTTCCATACCCTAATCGGTCGCAAAAGATAGCCAATGATTTCATTGAGATATTTTAGGACGATACATCAATTATTACAACAATGGGCTTATATCACAAAAAATGTTTAGTTCATAATTCGATAGAACTCACCCAAACTAGCTCACCACCGCAAACCATTTCTTGCTGTGAGCTCCCTAAGTTTTATACAAAATTATTGAAATCCCCGATTTTTCGGACCTCTGAAAACGAGGCGATGATGTGACGTCAAAACCCTAATACTGAAACAAGACTATTCCAGACATAGATGAATGATACATGATTTCTGACAGAGTGAATTAGCGCGAGATCACAGTTGAAAGAATTAATATATCAGTTGCCTCAGTCTCCGTCGGGCGTTTGGTATTTTCTTTTAGCTATGGTGAGAACAGGTTTCTACGTCATAAGAGGGTCCGTTTTCAGAAGGTACTATTATTTATGTCCAAAAATAAAACATTCCAGTTAATTTTTCGATCGAATTATGTCGTCAATCATTATTTATGTATAAAAGGATCATTATAAACATGGTTTGAGTTAAAAGTTCTACTAAGGTGTACACGCCCATTTCAGTTTCATGAATCCAAATGGATGATCATATTATGGCTACATGGCCAAAAAGAAAGACACAAGTAGCCGAATGAAAAAAATTGAATTTCTATCTTAGTTTTCTCAATATCGTGAGTTATTCTGATTGTGTTTAAACTCAATGAAATTATTGTAAATCTTCTGGGACCGATTAGGATATGGGAAATATTCTGATAATATAGTCTAAGTGTTGATCTCTGGATTTCTAAGCTTATCAAGCATCGAAATGTTATTGCATTCGGGCAACAGCCACATATATATGGGGTTCAGCACCAAAACATACGCTGATGTTCTTAGATTCCATCCAGAGAAGAGGCATTCGCCTGGTGGGTGACGCCACACTCACTCACTCTTTGACATCATTGGAACACCGTAGAAAGGTCGGCGACCTTTCACTTTTCTATCGATACTTCCACGGGAGATGTTCTTCGGAAATCTCTGCTATCATCCCTTCACTAGCAATACCAATCAGACGAACTAGACAAGCCCAGTCAGCACATCCTTTTGTTGTCAACCTCGAAAGATGTCGAACAGCACTTTATCAAGATTGCTTCATCCATAGAACGGCTAGGCTCTGGAATTAATTGCCTGTGGAAGTATTCCCAACAACATATAATCTCCAAAAGTTCAAAAAAAATTCCAATACCCTCCTGTCCCTAATCCTCCCTAGGTACGCACGATGTTCTTTGAACATTATAGGGATTCCCTTTCGTGCGCTCCAAGCGATAAAAAAAGCCAACTTCATGTATTTTAATGAAATGCAATTTAACAGTCAGTTAATGAACTAATATCAAATTGTGATACATAGTTGAATAGAGAATTCCAAGGTAAAAGAAACATGCTCTCGCTTGTTTTCCAGAAACAACAAAACAGTTTGATAGCCGGCCTCCGAGCGACAAATGAAGCCCTAAACATGCCAGAACCGGCAGAGGAGAGCAAAGACAACAGCCCGGACGACGAACGCGAACCCGAGGCCAACAAGGAGAACCTCGAGGGCAAAAAGCCGAAAATCGCCCCGCTGCCCAGATCCGACAGTGTGGGCAGCAGTTCGGGCAGGAAATTCCTGGCGCCGACCCTGTCTGATCCCGCGGCTAGGCCCGAGAGCAAGGAACGCGCAGTGACGAAGAAGAAGAATGTGAGGCCGGCGGTGGTTAATAAGAATTTAACGCACTTGAACGACAATGAAAATAGGCTTCCGAGAGAGGTTTTTCATAGTAAGACGACGGTGCCGAAAACTAGTAATGCGCTTCATGAGATTAGGGATTGGTGGAACGAACAGCTCGCTTATGTTTCTTCAAGCGACGAAGAATAACTGATTTTTTTTCGTTATAATTGGGATATTTTGTTCCTCAGCCATCTTTTTCTTTCACAAATTTCATAGGAAATTTAGATTTCTCGAGTTTTCTCCAGGAGAAATAGCGAAATGTCCATATAATTGACAAGTTTGTCCAAAATATGATAATCATTGAACAACCTCAAAATAGAAATATTACGTGAAAACACAAGTATTTTTCAATTTCTGATACCAAACCCTCGACAAAATGTCATCAAATCAAATCATATTTTTATAAAATTAATGAGTTTCACTTTTAATTTTCTTTTTCTACAAACGTCAAAAAATGACAAGGTTCGCGCATTGATAGCAAATTGCGAAGTGACACTTTTTTTCAGTTTCCTACGTCACCATGATACCTTGCAACAAACAATGTGCGAAGTAAAACAGTGCGCGAAGTACCTACTTCGCGCATTGTTATGTAAAGTATATGAGATATTTATATTTCAACTTAATGGTCCTTAATCGAGAAAACATCCACGAAATCATTTATTTCTGAATGTTCAACAATAATTTCGTTTTATCTCTTGGAGCGCACGAAAGGAAATTCCTATTATGTTCGTGAAACATCGTGCGTGCCTAGGGAGGATAGGGGAGGCCTTTTAAGCCAGTTCAACACCATTTTTCACATCAAGCTAAGCATATTCTTACTTTAGAACTATATTTCTTGACGTTTGTAGAAAAAATGTTGTTTGCAACTCGAGCGCGAAATACTTTGGTCATCTCGACTATTTTTTCAACTCGGCGAAGCCTCGTTAAAAAAATCAGATCTCGATCCCCAAAGTGCCATTTCGCGCTCTACATACAAAAATAACTATTTTCGTTTGAGTGGAAAAACAACCGCGGAATGGAAAAAAATTGGGCGAAAAATATTTCGCTTCATTTTGAGAAGAACCTTATTAAAAAAGACATGTTTGGTCAGAGTTTTAAAAAATTTATAAGTTTCTTTGATTAAAGAAAAAAACCGGGAATCTCGAAGGCAATAAACAACAGAAAACACGAGTTAAAAAAATAATATTTTTTTATTTTTACAGGAAATCTTCAGGGGTTTTTGAAGAAAACACGTTTGGACAGATTTTCATAAAATTAACTAGTTTCTTTGTAAAAAACAACAGAGGGAATCTTGAAGGTGAAAAACAGAAAAAAAACTATGAGTTCATGAAAAAAATCACTATTATTCTGACAGGAAATATCGACCAGTTTTTTGTTGAAAAATGACAAAATATGTTGAAAATTTTGAAGAAAATGTGAACTCCAACAGCAAAAAGCAGAAAACTGCCCCGCTGCACAGATCGGAAAGCGTGGGCATTATAGTTGACAAGTTTATTCAAAATATGATATTCATTTGCGAATTTGTTGTCCTTTAGAATGGGTGAACAACCGCAAAATAGAAATACTGCGTACAAAACACAGTAATTTTTCAATTTCTAATAGCAAATCTCGACAAAGTTTCATCGAATCAATAAGTTTTTGGGAAAATTAGATTCACATTTCATTTTCTTCTTTTTTAAAGTGGTAAAACAACCGCGGAATTGGAAAAAATTGGGTGACAAATATTTTGCTCCTTTTGAGAAGACATGTTTGACATATTTTTATAAAATTCACAAGTTTCTTTGAATACAAAAACAGGAAATCCCGAAGGCAAGAAACAACAAAATACACCATTAAAAAAAATTATATTTTATTTTGACAGCAAATTTTCATAAAATTCACTAGTTTATTTGAAAAAAATAACAAAGGGAATCTCGAAGGCGAAACACATAAGAAAACACAGTTTTGGAAAATTCAATTCTGATAGAAAATATCGACCAGTGTTTTTGTTGAATGATGACAAAATATGTTGCAGTTCGGGCAGGAAATTCCTGGCGCCGACCCTGTCTGATCCCGCGGTAAGGCCCGAGAACAAGGAACGACGACGAAGTGACGAAAAAGAAGAATTTGAGGTCGGCGGTTATTCAAAAATGGTTACGAATATCTATATATTATATATGGGTGTTGGGATAAAAGATGTTCGTGTTTCGATTTTACAACAAATGGCAAAAAAATACATGGTGTGTTTCATTCGAAACACTCGAGAAAAATCACTACCAAAAGTACCGAATTGAAAAAACATTTTTAGCCACCCTGTATAATTTGAGGACGTGAAAATTTTACAGAAATATCACGCATCTTTGAAATGATCAAGGAATAGTCAACAATGTTATAGGAGTGGATAGAGGTCGCAGCAATGCTTCAGAAAATGTGCTAATATATAGGGCATTCCATTTAAAAAGAGTGATCCTGACCCTCTAGATTTTTTCCGATGCAGACATCCGTCTTTAAATCAAGTTTTTAGGTATTAAAGAACTCGAGCAATCTAGACCCGACGCACTAATGCCCCACCCTGTATAATTAGGATATTTTGTTTCTTTTCTTTTTTCACTTATTCTATAGGAAATTGAGATTTGCCGAATTTTCTCCAGAGATAATAACGAAATGTCCATATAACTGACAAATTTATTCAAAATATGATAATCATTAGACAACCGCAAAATAAAAATATTGCGTGAAAACACAGTTTTTTTGCAATTTCTGATAGCAAACCTCGACAAAATGTCATCAAATCAAATCATATTTTTATAAAATCAATAAGTTGTTGGGAAAATGAGATTCATTTTTAATTTTCTCTCTCGTTGAAGTGGAAAAACAACCGCGGAATGGGAAAAAACTGGGTGAAAAATATGTTGCTTCATTCTGAGAAGAATCTTATTGAAAAGGCATGTTCGGTCATATTTTCATAAAATCCACAAGTTTCTTCGAATAAAAAAACAGGAAATCTTGAAGGCAATAAACAACAGAAAACACAGAAATAATATTTAATTTTTAAATATAATACTTAATTTCCATCCCACTAAGCAAAGATGAAAGCTACGTTGATGCAATGTTGAAGCAATTACTGATCCGAAAAGGAAGTTCAGCAATATTGCAAAGGTGAAGTTTGATAATGTAGCGTTGCAGCAATATTACATGTTGCTGTGGCATTGCTAGAACGTTACATTTCCAAATTTACATTTGTAATATTGCTGAACGTCTGTTTCAGTAATTGCCACAATATTGCATCAACATAGCTTCCAAATTTGCTTAGTGGGATGGTACTTGATATCTTGGATGTTTTCCGTTTTATGTTGAATAAAAATTGTATTCAATTTTTATGATACCTACACGAATTAAAATATACGACCTATCAATGTTTACATAAAATTATTTCTCCATCTCCCTCTACCTACTATCACCTATCTCTCTTTCCTTCTCTCTCTACATACAGAATATGGTGGCTGTTGCGCTGTGGCGCACTGCAAAGTGCGGATAGAAAATGAAAAAAAAAGGAGAATAATTCAACCTTCCTTTTTTTAAAGCTTTTATTTAACTTAAAATGTATGGATGTATGTTTAGTTCGGGTGGAATCTTTGAACTCAATTTTGAAGTAGAAATTTTCAACCGATTGAGCTGAAATTTTGTATACACGTTAAGTTTAGATGACAATGCATGATAAGGTGTGTGAAGTTATTCTGAATTCAATATGGCGGACCATCCAAGATGGCAGAATAGTTATTTTTAATGCACTTCTACAATATGGGTAACAAATGAAAGGGCTCGTTAAGAGTAATTTGAAAAATAATGTGACGTCATTCGGAATACAATATGGCGGACCATCCAAGATGGCGGAATAGTTATATTTTTAATGCACTTCCACAATATGGGTATCAAATGGAAGGATTTGTTGAGAGTAACTGGAGAAATACTGTGACTTTATTTTAAATCCGATATGGCGGATCATCCAAGATGGCGAAATAGTTATTTTTAATGCACTTCTACAATATTGGTATCAAATAAACGGAATTGTTAAGAGTAACTCGGAAAATAATGTGACCTCATTTTAAATCCAATATAACGGACTTTCCAGGACGGCGTGATAGCTATTTTTAATGCACTTCTACAATATGAGTATCAAGTTAAAGGGCTTGTTGAGATTAACTCGAAAAATAATGTGACTTCTTTCTAGATCCAATGTGGCGGACTACCCAAGATGACGGAATAGTTATTTTTAATTCACTTCTATAATATGGGTATCAAATGAAAGGGCTCGTTGAGAGCAACTCGGAAAATAATGTGTTAAATCATTAGAATGTCTCCTAATTGAAAAGCTGGAATGTTCGAAATTAACCGGCAAACGACATTGCAACAATGATGCGTTGAATGAAATGAACAGACTGAGAAACCTGGCCAGCAACTAAAAATTTTAAAAAAAATAAAAAAAATCAAAAGCTCCTATTTAAACGTTCTAATAAAACAAAATAAAATGTACCTTTATAATTTTAACTATCAACTTATAACAACATTATACACAATTTATATGACCATGAAAGCTTGTCACGCGATTTACTTGCGCGACAAACAATCAAGTTGAGACTAGTAGCATGATGCTAACAAAAATATAACACAGAACACATGCTCCCACTGAAATTCAAATTTGGATTTCCTGAATTTCCTCAGAAATTAGCATTTCGTGCAAGTTATATACTATACTTTTTCTACGGCTGTCACAGATAACAGCAGTATTCTTTATTTCTTCGGCTTGTAGCCATCTAATTTTCTTCCATTACATTTCATTTGAGATGAGATTTTGTGAAATAATAGCAATCTTGTGTTATATAGCCGTAGAAAAAGAACTTTCTTAATTCTACAACTGTGTTTATCAAAAAGAGTGATAATATACTGTGTTTTTCAAATACATCGTTCGGTATAGTGATAACATCGCGTTATTCTGTGTTGTGTCGGTGTTTTGTGAAGTGTTCTGAGAATTCATTTGTGGACTATATGAAGATTTCATACTGGTGAGTTTTTTAATCTTTCCTAACACGTGATAGGCACTTTGCATAATGAGAATTTAAGTCTTCTCACAAGACCGAATAAGTACGCATTATACAGGGTGTTTCATAATTGAATGCTGATCCTAAAGGACGATAATCCTTGGATGATTTTAAGAAAAATTCTTCATGTGAACATAGGTCCGTAACAGCTTCGTTTCTGAGATACAGGATGTTGAAATTTAACAAAAAAAATCAGTTAGACCCCAATATCTCTGAAACCGC